TTGCTTGTATAAATATTATAACTAATAATTAAAAGCATTAATATCTTACTAACCCAACCAAAAAATATTCAGATCTAAATTATGGTCTGTCACATCATCGAAGAAGAGCCCCACAGGACAACATCCAGAGATGGAAGCATTATCTAGGCCACCAGGCTACATTCATTCAGATGGAGGGAGGGAAAGAGGAAGGGAGGGGGCACAAGTGGGAGGTGGTAAACATCCCTTAATAGTGTATATATACATGTAGTCTCATAAATGAAGCTTCTATTCACAGAAATCCTGAACAAAAAACCCAGTCACTAATATTAGGATTACATGCAATAAACTAAATGGTCTAATAACAGGGCAGTAAATCCTTTACCCATTGTATGCTATATATTTCTCTGGAAACATATGGTCTTATTTTAATTAAGTATTTCTATAGACAGTACTACTGAAGAGTTTTGCACCTTCCTATTTTTATTTAATTTTTTTTTACCAGTAATTTGTTTATATCTATCGCGACTAAGCCAAATATATAATCATTAATTGTAATATCATTTTGTAAATAACTGTAAGAAAACAATATGTTTAATACAGGTATGTAATAGCATAGAAAAACTTTAATATTTAAATTATCCACAAGATGGCATTATCACATCAACAAAGCCATTTTTAAAGCACAGGGTTTACGGTTTATATACATTTGTCATGATAGTATGTGCAAACATTAAAAACAAACAAATAGTGTACCTTTCATGTGTATGAATTCCATTAGAAATTTCACAAAGTTTTTGTGTGTTTTGTGTGAAATATATCTACAGTGGTCTCATGGCATTGTCTGAGATCGTAGTCACAATAACCAATGGAAAATCTACCCTGAGGGAAGAGTTGAGGCAAATTATCAAACCATTACAACTGCACAGTAATCAGTTAAAACAAACGATATAATTCATGAATAATCTTACTTTTGGTCTCTTAAAGTAGTCCAGGCCTCTACCTATCTTAATGATCCATCCATTGTCAAATCTGAAAATGTATTCAAAATAAAGTCACAGCTGGAAAAGAATAGGACTCATACAATTAATCAACCTTCATTACACATTAAATATCTTACCTGATCTCTCTGTCATGTATGGTAGAGGAGTACTCCACATCCAGAGTCACACCTTGAGTTTTGAGACTTTCTTTGATTTCAATCAAGGCACTTGTTTGTAGCTTATCTGTCTATAAAAAATAGTTTGCAAAAGAAAATATAAAACGTATTTATTATCATTATTTTCATTACATAAAAAACATGACCTACTTCATCTTGTGATGTGAGAAGGTGAATTTGTTTCACTTTGCCCAAACCTTTGAGGAGCATTTCACAAAACCTTAGGAAATTATACAGCTGTAGAAAAAAACAAAACAAAATGATCAACATAATCCGTTCAGCCTAACTGAGTGAAAGGAAATGAAAAATGTTATAATGTTACCTGATGTGTGTGCCGTATATATGGGTCTTCTACCCACACTTCTGTTAGTGCACTACTGATATAAGGTTTAAAAAGAGTCTCATAGCTGTAACCAGTGGCATCGTCGGGTAACTTTATCTGCTCGTGGTATTTTCCATCTGGAATAATAATAAAAGAGACTTTAAAGATGGATGCTGTTTATGTTCATTTGTTCATTTTCAAGTTATAAGATTCGTTCATGTTATTAAAACAAATGTAAATTTTAGCTTGCTGAAATTAGGTGGAAACTCTGGATAGAACATTAAATGACACCTGTTTTACCTAGAGTGTTTCACAGTACAGTATTAAAGTTATATATCCATAAGATCTCCCTGGAGATAAGCGGATGCGGACCCTCCACCAGAAAAGTTCATAGTGGACTGCACTGCACAGTATTTCTTGTAAGAATGCATTATGGGAATTAAATATGTTTTTGAGAAATGTTGAGCTTTGTGCAACGTTCACCTTCTTTCAGCTTGTCGACGTGACATTTGATTTGCTCTGCTCTGTCCATGTAACCCTTTATTTTCTCTCTATAGTGTCCTCTTTTTGATTCTTCTCTCACAGCTGTTAAGAGAAAAAAAAATGTAAGCAAAAATACTTTAGAATCACTGTTACATATTATTCAACAATAAGATAACGATTACCCTTACTTAACTTAATTACCTTTTAACACGTCCATTAGCAGCTGGATTCCTTCTTGGTAGCACACCAGAGACTCCTGAAAGCGCCCACTCTGGTCTAACTCCACTGCTCGTTTCAGAACAGATACAGCGGAGGCTTCCATACCTGACATATGATTTTGTGTCATTTTTCAACAATTCTTATTCAAGTATATTTCATAAAAGTGTAAAGTCTGGCATGCTGAAATGATCTGAACTAAACCGTACTTCGCTTCCCATATGAGGAAATAGAGTGTGTCACACAAAAATAACCCCGAAAAAGATGTAGTCTACTATCCCTCAGGCATGGTGGTATATATTTATATAGTAATTTTAGTTAACTACAAAATAATAAAATACTGATCATTTATAAATAACAACACTGTACATTTAATAATATATATATAATTAGGAATCCTTATTAGTCAACTACGTTTCACATCGGTACAGTTTGAATGTTACACTTCGTGACTTCCTTCAACCAAAACACGAAGCAAAGTGAATGGTACATTTATATCCGATTAAGCGGTTTATTAGCGCATACCTTTGTTGCATGATTAAATAATGATTTTTTTTTTTCTTTTCTTGTCTTGACATATTTTAATCTTATTTTCCTCCATTTGTCATAACCTTGGACACATCTAGGTGACGCTAACCACGCTATAGCTATGGCTGGGGTTTGTCAAGGTCTACGATTCATGTCCTATAAGGTGAGGATATTTTTATTTAAAGTCTTTATTTTTAATTAAGTTGAAAAAAAAAAGTAACCTGTAACCTCCCCCCCCAACCCCCCCCCCCCCAGATTATCGCAAGGGCCACCCAACTGCCATGTCTAGTGTTGGCACGAGGAAATTTTACCAGATCAAGGATACCTCAAGAGGTATTGTTATATTACAGTAATAAATGGCGTATGTATATGCATGTTTAATGTGCAATGTATTGTTTTCCTCCTTTTAGATTTTTGAAGAGAGATCAAAAGAGCATAAAAAATATGGAGGTGACCAAGAGCAACCTCATAAATTGCATATTGTTACACGTATCAAAAGTACTATTCGGCGACCATACTGGGAAAAAGAAATTGTCAGAAGTTTTGGACTACGTAAGGTAATCATTTTAAAAACTATTTGATTACACTGAAAGACTCTATGGCAACTGAGGAGCCGAGAAAAAAAAAAAAAGTAAAAAATTATAATATAGATAGATAGATCAAGAGGAGAATTTTTTCATTCATTTCCCTAACTTAAATCACAACGGGATATTAGATTCCAGAATACCCTTGTCATGTGGCACTGCAGCTGTAGATAGTCCTGACCAAACTCAGGTCATCAGACGGGTCCCTGGTGCCCACTGTTACCAACAAGTTGCCCCAGTGGAATTGCAGGATGGGTCAAATGCAGAGGAGAAATTTCAGGGGCAATAAATTTGCCTTAATGGCTAGTTGGTGACAAGCTGTTAAACGAGACTGAGACTTACGATATGCCCTAACATTAGCGTCTCTACACAGATCTCTGTATAAATGTTTTGTTGTTCTACCTGGGCAAACGTTTTTTTGTTTGTTTTATAGATGCATGCTCCGGTAATTCATAAAAATACACCTGCAGTTAATAATCAGTTGAAATATATCAAGCACCTTGTAAGGTAAGAATCAGTCGCTGAAATGTTATTTACCATGTTGCAGCTGTTTTGAACTTGTACTTTCATTTCATGGCACAAACTCATCAAGGATACAACCATTGAAGACCCCTTTTGGACTTCCCGCAGAGCAAGACATGGCTGACACTTATATCAACGTTAACGGAGAGCTTATTGTGAAGCGTTTGTTGCAGCCAGTGGAGCCAAAAGCGATTGATTCATAGTATATTGTAACATTTGTTCTGTAGTTGTAAATACATAACTATTAAATAAACTTAACTTTGATTACCTAAGTTACTGTATTCTTTTAATGAGTACAGGAGTCAGAAACATTCTGAATAGTAAAATTACAATTAAAGAATGGCTCCTGCAAATAAGCATAATTTTATTGTATTTTTGTCTCTGACAGCTCAATAACCCAATAATTTCCAGCTCAAAGAACTCACAGGGAAGATGAGGCATTGAAGTCATCACTCTGTATTTGTTTAAAAAAGGGAATTGGGGACTTCCGGTTATGGCCGCAAACTAGACAGACGTGTGCGCCCCTGCTCTGATATTTTCTGAGCAAAATCCTGTTGCAAATTGCATTTTAATACAAGTGTGCACAGATAGTTATCTTTGATAAGGAGAGAATGCCAACGAACGCTAAGATGACCAGAGAAAAGGGGAAAACTGTAACACAGTCGAAGCTATCTGACTTCGGGAAATCTGTAGAGCTAAAACCTAGCAAAGAAGCAACTAGCCCGGTAGAAGATGAAGCTAACGCTAGCAATGAGGCTAGCGCTGCACCCGAAACCCACAGCAACGCTCCAGCGGCAGCTGACAGTGAACTCAAACTCGTTAGGGACGAAATCCTGAAGGCGGTGTGGGATTTAAAGCAAGAGTTTAACGGTAAACTGAATGGCATTCTAAAGGCATCAGAAGAAACGAAAAAACAACTAAGTGACTGCACCAATAGGATCGGAGAAGCGGAGGTGCGCGTCTCTGCGGTTGAGGATGAGTGTGGCGCTCTCAAGAGCAGGGTGGAAAAGTTGGAAAAGAGGAACCGGGTCCTGGAGGATAAGTTAATTGACATGGAAACCAGATCGCGGTTGAATAACGTACGACTCGTGGGACTGCCAGAGGGAGCGGAGGGCCCGGACTCATGCTTGTTTCTTGAGAGCTGGATACCAGATGCGCTGGATATGACACCGCTGCGATCGCCCTTGATACTGGAGAGAGCGCACCGCATTGGGCCAAAGAGAAGTACAGGAGATCCACCAAGACCTCTAATCATGAAGTTCCTGAACTATAAACAGAAAGTCGCCGTGATGAATGCCGCAAGAACGAAGGGGGACATCCTCTACAAGAATATCAGCGTGCGGCTCTACAACGATTTGGCAACGGAGGTGCACAAACAGAGGAGGCAGTATGATTCGGTGCGTCAACAACTGCGACGACTGGGACTGAGGCATGGATTCAGACCGCCTGCCAAACTGCTGGTAACATATAGAGAACGAACGCTCACATTTGACAACGTATCACAAGTGCAGGAGTTCATACACAGCGTTGAAGGGGAGAATTCTGATCAGTAAAGTTAGGAGGCATTGCAATGCGCAGTGTCTGTTATTTCATTAACATCCTATCCTGTCAAAGTTAAAAGTTAAAGCTGTGCACATCATGTTTATTGTCCCTGCTGGAATTTTGTTTGGCATTTTTATATTAGTGCACAATAATCTAATCCATTATTAATAAAAAAAAAAATAAATAAATAAATAATAATAATAAAAAATAAACATAAAAAGCAGGGGAGCTTTTGAAGTTTGAAGCAAATTTTTTTTTCTCTTTTCTTTCTTTTTCCACCAAATGTGCCAGAACAGTTAAGGGGATTGATCTAGATTTTGGATCTATCCCTAAAGGTTAGAGGAAGCTACATAAATAAGGGGAATAACCACTTAATGTGGGGATGGGATTGTTTTTTTGTTTTTTTTGTTTGTTTCTAAAGTTCAGAGTGTTCAGTGTGTGTTTAGTTCAGTGGTCAACCATTTTAGACAAACAGCCATCAGAATTTTGTTTTTTGCTTTGAAATGTCCCAAAAAGTGAAACTTAATTTCATATCCTGGAATTGCAGAGGTTTGCAGAAAATAAAAAAAATTAAACAAGTGATGAACAAGTTAAAAAGATTCTGGTGCAAAAATAATATTTTTACAAGAGACCCACACTATTAAAGAGGACCATGTCAAAATTAGTAGGAGATGGAAGGGCACTGTTTATGCAGCATCTTTTAATTCGCAGGCAAGGGGAGTTATGACCCTTGTTCATAACTCGGTTCCTTTTCAAGTGTCAAATGTAATTGAAGATAAATTAGGAAGATACTTAATTGTTCAGGGCTCACTACTTAAAACCAGTTTAAATCTGGTGAATGTATATGGTCCAAATGTGGACGATCAAAATTTTTTTTACAGATTTCTTTCTTACTCTTTCCACCCTCCCAGGCCTTTATATAATTGCAGGGGACTGGAATTGCACTCTAGATCCAACTAAGGACCGATCTACTGGTGTTGACAATACCCACAATAAAAGCAGGACAACTATTAAACATTTTATAAGCGAACTAAATTTAATTGATATCTGGAGGCATTTAAAACCCAATGGCATTGCCTACTCATGTTATTCTGCTACATACCAAACCTTTTCTCGCATCGATTATTTTTTAATTTCATCTTTATTAATATCAAAAATTGAAGATTGCTTTTATGATAGTATACTGTTGTCAGATCACGGACCATGTGGCATTATTTACACAGAGGATGCATTAATCAAAGATCCACCTAGATGGAGTTTAAATCAAAAATGGCTGTTAGATAACAATTTTCTTGAATATATCGGGAAGGTAATAGATGACTATTTTAAGGATAACACAACTGAAACAAGTGCGGCAATAAAATGGGAGGCATTTAAGGCTGTATTGAGAGGACATATAATTAGCTATACCTCATCTAAATCTAGAGACTTTCATAAAAAGAGATTGCTCCTTGAGGCTAAAATAAAAACTCTCCAGAACCAGGCAATTAATAACAACAATGCTAATGCTGAAAGAGACTTGCTGACACTAAAAGCAGAGTATAACAAACTTTCAGCCGATAGAGCAGCTTCCGATATCATCAGACTCAATCAGACTGTAACAAACAGGCTGGTTTGTTACCCCAGAACCACACTTAGCACCTTCACCCTTCACTAAAGCACTTTAAAACACTGCACTTTCCTAGCACACAGCACTTTTAACATATTTGCACATCACAAAATAAATTGCACACAATTGGTTTTAAAAAATATTTATTGGCTTTCCTTTAACCATTTTTTATTCCTGAGGCACAGCACTTTAATTGGAAGTTGCTTGTCCCTGGAGGAAAAGGGAGACAATAATAAATTACATTTTAAATTGACTTTGTGCAATAAATATGGTGCAATATCTGTTTTAGAATGTTTTAAGTGTTGATGTGTTTAGTGTATTTTATTGTGTTTTAATGAATGGTGGATCTGCTTTTACTTACCTCCCCTTTTTATCTTCTGTCCAGGTGTGAAAAGAGTCCCCCGGAAACGAGCTCCCTCTTTTATGGTTCCGGGCTGGACCACGTGTAACATTTTGTACAGGGGTTTTAGGTTAGGTATTTTATTGGTTTATGGGTTTTAACATTTAATTGGTGTAATGGTTTTAGGGTTTTATGTATATAGTTGGTGGTTTTAATAGTTATCTGGGTTTTGGGTTGTTTTATGGAGGTTTAGGTTTTAATTTTACGCTAATGATAATTTTAACCATCCCTGTTTTAGCATAGTGGTTTTATCCAATCAGTAGGACCGGCATAAAAGGCGCCTTCAAGATCAGTCTGTGTTCTGCTGCTGGAGAGGAAACTGCTGCCTGCCTCCGTTTTGCACCCTGCACTTTTTGCACTTGCACTTTTGTAATCATTGAAAAAACAAAAGTAAACTGTGGACCACAAGTACCGGTCTGTGTCTGGATTTGTTTTTTACCTTGCTCACTGAACCCCAAGCCGCTCACGGTCAACCTACGTTACATTTGGTGTCAGGAGTGGTCCTATGCCGCAGTGAGAAGGTACGATGAATACCAGACAAGGTGGAAGAAAAATGCCTGAAGAGCCCGATGAGGAACCTGGGACGACAATGGCTGACCACCAGGGGGCAAAGGCAAGTGGTGTGGAAGAGAAAATGGAGGAATTGGCTGGGATGATGAAGTCACTAATTGATGCCCAGACCATAAGAGACAAAACTGTCAACACGGAGCGGATCCAACAGGAGCAGCGCTGGCAAACCATGGAGATTCAGGTCCAGCGACTCCAGCAGCAGCTAATAAGGATGCAGCCAGAGCGATCTGCGCATCCACAGTGGGTTTCAAGGCCCGTTCAAGTCACGCTAGAAATGCCAACAGAGGAGGAGTACGAGGATGAAGAAGAGGAGGGGCCGCGTTACCCTCACAGGCCATACCGGGAGCCAAAGCTTCTTCCCCTGGCTCCTGACGATGACATTGAACATTTCCTGACCACGTTTGAAAGGATGGCTCAGGTTTGCCGATGGCCAGAAGAAGAGTGGGCTGTTCGCCTGGTACCTCTGTTGACAGGCAAAGCCCGAAGTGCCTATGTTGCTATGGACATGAAAGACACAGAGGACTATGACAAGGTGAAGGAGGCCATCTTGTCCAAATATGAAATTACATCAGAGACCTACCGCCGTCGCTTCAGATCCCTGAAGATCGAGCCCGGTGAGACACCACGGGAGCTGTATGTCCGCCTGAAGGAGCTGTTCATGAGATGGATTCAGCCTGGAAAAATAACAATCCAACAAGTGTGTGAAAAGCTGATTCTGGAACAGTTCTTGCGGATGGTCAGTCCCGAGCTGGAGATCTGGATTAGGGAGCACGACCCCGCCACCGCAGAGGAAGCTGCCCGTCTGGCTGAGGTCTTTACATCTGCTCGGAAAGGGACCAGAACCAGCTACTTCGGCCGAGAACCTCACCAGCCCATGCCAAGTAAGTCCTTTGGGGGTGATGGGTGTGGTCCAACCCAGGGTAGAAGTAGCAACAGTAGGCCAGCTCCACCTATCCACCAGTCTCGCACGGTGAGAAAGCCCGCTAGACCACCACAGGAAGTCAGGTGCTACAACTGTAACGAACTTGGTCATACTCAGTACTTTTGCCCAGCTTTAAAAACCAAGCAGTCCCTACTTTGTTCTGTACCTAGGCCGGCAAGCGTACAGACAGGGCAGAGAATAGGGCGCACAACCCCAGTGCTTGTAAATGGCCACCGGGCGGAGGCATTGTTAGACTCTGGATGTTTTCAGACAGTTGTTATGTCCTCCTTAGTTCCACCTGAGCGGCAGTCAGTTGAGCAAACTCCACTGGTGTGTATTCATGGAGATGGGCACAGTTACCCTACAGCAGAAGTCTATCTGACAGTTGGGGGGCAAACTTACCTGGTTACCGTCGCATTAGCCAAAAACTTACCTTTTACAGTCGTCCTTGGTAATGATATTCCCACTCTTCCTGATCTGATTATCCAGGCAGATAGTGGGTGCTCAGAGTCTGTTTTAGAACCCCCTGCACAGTGTACTCCGGAACCTGGCAAACCCTGTAATGTCCTCACGAGGGCACAGATAGCTAGGGGTGTTTTTGAGGAGCTGCCCTTTTGTGACGAGGAACTAGAAGCGCATCCGGTCAAAGCCAAAAAGCCTAAGGCCCAAAAGAGAAGGGACAAGTTTGTTGGCTCTCAGAAAGGGAAAGAGGAGCTTCCTAAACCCCTTAGTCCTTTGGACGTCAGCATCCCCTCAGACATAGGGGCACTGCAGAGAGAGGACTCTACACTTAAACCCTGGTTTGACAAAGTCAAAGAGCAGGAGGGTGTCAAAACAGGCAAAGGTAGCTGCTTAGATGAAGTCAGCTATATTGTGAAAAATGGCATTCTTTACCAGATCAAGGACAAGAATGAGGCACTAGTATTACCTGAAAAGTTGAGAGTGCAGGTAATGGAGCTGGGCCATGCAGTCCCATGGGCAGGCCACATGGCTTTTCAAAAGACCCTCAGACGGATTGGCAGCCGGTTTGCTTGGCCGGGAATGTTTTCACAGGTCTCCAAATTTTGTAGTTCCTGTCAAATTTGCCAGCTTACTTCAAGCAAGGGAGTAGCTCGGGCCCAGCTTCAGCCTCTGCCAATTATTGGGACTCCATTTGAGAGAATGGGGATGGACATTGTAGGCCCCCTGGAGAAGAGCTCAGCAGGCAACCGTTACATTTTGGTCATTTCAGACTATGCCACACGTTACCCTGAAGCCTTCCCACTCAGATCTATTAAGGCTAAACAGATTGCTAACTGTCTCTTGCAGCTCTTCTCAAGGGTTGGGGTAGCAAAAGAAATACTTACTGACTGTGGTACCAATTTCCTTTCAAAGCTCCTCCAGCAGGTCTACCAGTTGCTAGGGGTGAAGGGAATTAGGACCACACCGTATCACCCCCAAACGGACGGTTTGGTGGAGAGATACAATAAGACTCTGAAAACGATGCTGCGCAAGTTTGTCTCTTCTACAGGCAAGGACTGGGACCAGTGGCTTCCGTACCTGCTCTTTGCATACCGTGAGGTCCCACAAGCATCGACAGGCTTCTCACCTTTCGAGCTCTTGTATGGACGCCAGGTGAGGGGACCCCTGGACCTGCTCAAGGACCACTGGGAGCGCCGGGAGCCAGAAGGAGACAATGTAGTGGCCTACGTACTCAAAATGAGGGAGAGGCTTGAGGCAATGGCAGCACTGGCACAGGAAAACCTCAAAGCGGCACAAACCACACAGAAAACCTGGTATGACCAGAAGGCCAAGGACCGGACCTTTACACCAGGCCAAAAGGTACTTTTGCTTTTACCAACTAGTGAAAACAAACTACTTGCTAAGTGGCATGGACCATATGAAATAACTAAAAAAGTTGGAGATGTCACATATGAACTGTTTATGCCTGAGAGACTTAAAAAGCACCAAGTTTTTCATGTTAATTTGCTGAAAGAGTTTATTGTCCGCCAAGAACCTTCTCAGCAGCTTTTGGTGCGTGCCGTGAAGGATAAGGAAGTGACGGAAAAGTTTTTCCCCATCCCTGCTGCAGAGCCAGCTGCCATTGACCTGTTTCACCTCTCTCCCTCTCAGCAGGACGAGTTAAGGCCGCTTCTTAACCCGGATCTTTTCCAGGAGACCCCCGGTTTTACCTCACTGGTTCAACATCAGATCCGCCTCAAAAAGGATGCTCCAAAGAGACAAAGGAGCTACCGAATCCCAGAGCGGTTGGTGCCAGTGTTGAAAAAAGAAATTGAACTTATGTTAGAACTGGGAATCATTGAAATGTCAGACAGTGAATGGTGTAGCCCTGTTGTACTTGTGCCAAAAAAGGATGGTTCTTTGCGTTTTTGTATTGATTTTAGGTACCTGAACGCAATCTCCAACTTTGACCCCTACCCGATGCCCCGCATCGATGAACTTCTGGAGCGTGTGGGGAGTGCAGCCTATATCACCACGCTGGATCTATCCCGGGGCTATTGGCAGTTGGCACTAGCATCAGAGGCGAGGGAGCTGACAGCCTTTAAAACTCCCTTTGGACTGTACCAGTTCAGGGTGATGCCCTTTGGCTTGCAGGGGGCGCCAGCCACATTTCAGAGGCTGATGGACCATCTACTCCGTGATGTGTCTGAGTTTTCTGCAGCCTACCTGGATGACGTGGTGGTTTACAGTCGGTCCTGGGAAGAGCATCTCCACCACCTCCAGGAGGTCCTGCAGAGGATTCAGACTGCTGGACTGACTGTGAACCCAAAAAAGTGTGCAGTGGCCCATAGGGAAGTCGAGTACCTGGGGTACACTATTGGCTATGGCAAAATTAAGCCTCAAGTTCAAAAAATGGAGGCTATCCAATCCTTCCCTGTGCCCACAACAAAAAGGAAGGTCAGGGGGTTCCTCGGCCTGGTGGGATGGTACAGGAAATTCATCCCTCAGTTTGCCGAGAGATCCACTGTCCTGAGTGACTTAACAAAAAACTCTGCCCCAAACAAAGTTCGCTGGACGGAGGCGTGCAACAGAGCCTTCATTGACCTGAAGGAGGCTATTTGCACCCAACCAGTCCTGCAAAGCCCTGATTTTGACCAGCCTTTCATCCTGCAAACAGATGCTTCTGGGGTGGGACTGGGAGCGGTCCTCCTCCAGGAGAAGGACGGAGAACGAAGGCCAGTGGTATTTCTGAGTCGTCGGCTGCTGGACCGGGAGACTCGATACTCGGCTGTAGAGAAGGAGTGTCTGGCGATGAAGTGGGCCATCGACTCTCTGCGATACTACCTGCTTGGGAGACACTTCGTGCTGGAGACAGATCACAGAGCACTGCAGTGGCTGGATCGCATGAGAGAGGCGAACACTCGGATCGCAGGATGGTACCTTGCGCTACAGCCCTACAACTTCACCGTCCACTACAAACCAGGGAAGACCAACATCGTGGCTGATTGCCTATCAAGACTGGAAGAAGAGTAGCTTCGCTTTTCTGAGAGGAGGGGGGAAATGTAACAAACAGGCTGGTTTGTTACCCCAGAACCACACTTAGCACCTTCACCCTTCACTAAAGCACTTTAAAACACTGCACTTTCCTAGCACACAGCACTTTTAACATATTTGCACATCACAAAATAAATTGCACACAATTGGTTTTAAAAAATATTTATTGGCTTTCCTTTAACCATTTTTTATTCCTGAGGCACAGCACTTTAATTGGAAGTTGCTTGTCCCTGGAGGAAAAGGGAGACAATAATAAATTACATTTTAAATTGACTTTGTGCAATAAATATGGTGCAATATCTGTTTTAGAATGTTTTAAGTGTTGATGTGTTTAGTGTATTTTATTGTGTTTTAATGAATGGTGGATCTGCTTTTACTTACCTCCCCTTTTTATCTTCTGTCCAGGTGTGAAAAGAGTCCCCCGGAAACGAGCTCCCTCTTTTATGGTTCCGGGCTGGACCACGTGTAACATTTTGTACAGGGGTTTTAGGTTAGGTATTTTATTGGTTTATGGGTTTTAACATTTAATTGGTGTAATGGTTTTAGGGTTTTATGTATATAGATGGTGGTTTTAATAGTTATCTGGGTTTTGGGTTGTTTTATGGAGGTTTAGGTTTTAATTTTACGCTAATGATAATTTTAACCATCCCTGTTTTAGCATAGTGGTTTTATCCAATCAGTAGGACCAGCATAAAAGGCGCCTTCAAGATCAGTCTGTGTTCTGCTGCTGGAGAGGAAACTGCTGCCTGCCTCCGTTTTGCACCCTGCACTTTTTGCACTTGCACTTTTGTAATCATTGAAAAAACAAAAGTAAACTGTGGACCACAAGTACCGGTCTGTGTCTGGATTTGTTTTTTACCTTGCTCACTGAACCCCAAGCCGCTCACGGTCAACCTACGTTACACAGACCTTTTATGAACAGGGGGAGAAAACTGGATCACTGTTGGCATGGCAAATTAAACAATTAGAAACAAGAAAAGCAATAACTTCGATTATAAAAAGTAATGGTGTTACAATAACCAATCCTGCAGAAATAAACAAAGAATTCAGAGACTATTATGAAAAATTATATGACTCTGGAAAAGACTGTGATAATCAAAATACTTTTTTAGATACACTGGAAATCCCTCAAATTCCAAACGACTTAACAGAAAGGCTTGAAGCTGGTTTAGATGAGAAGGAAATTGATAGGGCTATTGATAATATGAAGGCAGGTAAAACACCAGGTCCCGATGGACTTCCAATAGACCTTTATAAAAAATTCAAATCCAAATTTCTTAAACCTCTTTTGGACATGTTCTTAGAAGCATTTCAGTGTGGATATCTACCAAAGTCACTTACGGCAGCCATAGTAACATTATTACCCAAACCTGGCAGGCCAAGCAACTGCTGTGAAAATTTAAGACCAATAAGCCTTTTGAATGCTGATTTAAAAATTTTATGTAAAATCCTGGCAAAACGACTCCAAGAAACATTACCTTTTGTAATACACAGGGACCAAAATGGGTTTATTTTAGGGCGACAGGGGTTTCATAATGTTAGTAGGGTTCTCAACATTATTAATGGTTTAGATAATACTACAGATAAGGCCCTCTTGTCTTTAGATGCCGAAAAGGCTTTTGACAGGGTTGAGTGGCCCTATCTTTTCAATGTTTTACAACGATTTGGATATGGAAATAATTTTCTAAAATGGATACGATTGCTCTACTTAAATTCTACCGCAGAGGTGGTGACAAATAAAAATATCTCACAGCCGATTGCTATAAAGAGAGGATGTAGACAGGGTTGTCCATTGTCACCTCTCCTGTTTACTTTGGCAATAGAACCTTTAGCAATTGCCATAAGAAAATGTGCAGATATAGCTGGGATAAAGATTTGCCATGTTGAACACAAAATTGCACTGTATGCAGATGATGTTATCCTTTTCATTTCAAACATGAGTAGAACAATTCCGGTTCTCTTAAATTTGATAGGGAACTTTGGTAAGATTTCTGGATACACTATTAATAATACCAAGTCCTCAATTCTATTACTTGATGAAAAGGAAGCTAGTAATCCTGACCCACAGACTCGTTCCTTTAGAGTGGTGGATCACTTTACATATTTAGGCATAGAAATCAGACGCAAATTGAATTCTGTGGTCAGGGTTAACTATGAATCTTTGATGAATGATATAACAGAGTCTGTTGATAGGTGGATATTATTACCTTTGTCCTTAATTGGAAGAATTAATGTTATTAAAATGAATATGCTCCCCAAAATGTTGTATTTGTTTCAGAATGTGCCATTGCCCCCGCCCAATGATTTTTTTTGCAAAGATAAAAAAACAATTTATTGCATTTATTTGGAAAAATGATAAAGCTCGAATTCGGTTGTCCTTAATGCATTTGCCATATAACCAGGGAGGTTTAAAGTGTCCAAATATAATTTGGTATTATTGGGCTACACAATTAAGATCAATCAAATTTTATTTTGAAACTAATAATGCCCCCAGTGGAAAGAAATGGAATCAGGTGGTCTAGATCTACCATTACCATATTATCTTTACTCAGATAAGATTTCCAACCTGATAAAAAAAACTACAAATCCAATTGTTAAACATATGATAAAAATCTGGTTTATGGTGCGCAATTATGTTAAGGAGACTAGTAACTTGTCTTTGTACACCCCAATTTGGGGAAACCAGTGCTTCATCCCTGGGAGGGCAGATACGGTCTTTCAAGATTGGGCATCAAAGGGATTAAAGTCAGTACAGGATTTATTTATGCCAAATTCAGAATCATTAATGTCTTTTGAGGATATGACATGCAAGTTCAAAATTGATAGAAAATACTTTTTTAAATTCCTTCAACTAAGGAGTTTTATTAGAACCAATCAATGTAATCAATTAACTAGACCGAAAAAAACTTCATTGGAAACAATCATCTCTAAAAATAGTCAGAGTAAGGGCGCCATATCAGAGCTGTATGACTTCTTACTGTCTAATTCAAGTGAAAACTCTGACTCTAAACTCAGGGCATGGAATGAGGATCTCAAATCAAATTTGTCAAGAGGATTGGGAATCAGCATGTAGCAAAGCTCACAAACAGTTAATTAATACTCGATTTAGGCTTCTGCAATATAAGTGGCTTATGAGAACATATGTAACCCCAGTCAAACTGAACCGTTATAACCGTAACATACCAGATATTTGTAGTAAGTGCGCTGTTGCTAAAGGAACTCTTTTCCACTGCATGTGGGAATGCCCTGAAATAGGACTCTTTTGGGAGGAGGTTAGAAAAGCGGTGGAGATGATTGTTTCTAAGAATATTCCAACAAATCCTGTTATGTTTATTTTAGGTATATATCCCAAAAAGCACAAGTTTACTAAGAGCGAACAGATTATGATTAATATGTGTTTTCTACAAGCAAAAAGAACAGTTGCAATGTTTTGGAAAAAAACTTGTAGGCCCAGGTTGGTGCACTGGGTAAAACAGATGCTCATAGTTTTTCCCTTGGAAAAGATCACATGCATTAGGAAAGGAAAGTTGAAATTGTTTGATGAGTTGTGGGGTCCTCTTAAAAGTTTTGTAGGGAATCTTAATTTGACGGAGGGTGCTGAAGATGTTTGATACTATTCTGTAAACCTTTTGTTTTTATTTATTTCTATTATATTTTTTAATGTATGTGTAGTGGTTAAATTTGCTCTCTGATGTTCCGTGAATTCTCTTCTTGCATATTCATGAAACCAACCACTTCCAGACGGAAAGAACGAGTCTACTCGTGTTTAGGTTTCAACGACGGTAGAAAAACAGTGTTCGCCCCGTCTTTTAATGAAGTTCTCACATAAACAAAACAGCAATGGCTTTCTCCACATACATACGTGAACTCAAAGCGCCAGCTCCCATTGGCTACACATCCGGAAATTCGAAACTAATCAATCTGAACCAATTCAAACTAAATTAAAATTATCTCATATGCAAATTATCAAACATAGTACAGCAATGTAACCCTAAATTTAGTTGCAACAAGCAGTCACTTCATATAACACAAATTACAATATTAATTTGAATCTGAACCAAAAAGGAGCCTAAATTACAACATAGAAAATGGCACCAACATTTCCGGCCCCTAATTGCTCATCATGGGGATGACAATTACATAACTAAACTAAAGAGTCATTTTCTATATTCAATTCCCTTTAGTACTTTTACTTAAGTCCAAACCGCTGTAAACAACCTAAAACTAATCTAATGGAAGCCAACAAAAAATAATAATAATAAATTCCTAAATAATAATGTCTTTCATTGTCCATGAGATTCTTCCATCTCCAGCAGGAGACACAGCTTGTCTATGGGTCTCTCCAGGGTGTTGGTCTTCGTTTTGACTAGGACTCGACGGACAAACCCTTGGGCGTCAGGGATAGTCTTCTCCACCTTCCCCATTAACCAGGACCCTCTTGGAGCCCTCTCGTCCACGATGAGTACGATGTCTCCCTCTTTCACATTTCTCTTCTTTTCCAGCCACTTCTGCCTTTCTTGTAGGAGGGGCAAGTATTCTCTTGACCAGCGCTTCCAGAAGATATCAGAGATATATACTGCACTTGCCTCCATCTTCGTTTGGAGTATAGATCCTCCTTATGAAACATGCCTGGAGGGAGCGCTGGTTTCCCTTTAAGAAGAAGGAGATGATTTGGTGTCAGTGGCTCGAGGTCATCCACATCATCAGATGACTTGGTGAGGGGTCTGCCATTAATCACTGCTTCTGCTTCGCACATAACAGTGTGCAGACATTCGTCGTCAAGTGACTGGAGCTTCAGAAGACTGGTAAGTATTTTCCTTACTGTTCTTATTTGGCGCTCCCAAATCCCGCCATGGTGCGAACCGGCAGGTGGGTTGAAGATCCAAGTAACTCCTCTTTGCAGCAGAGCGTCAGAGATCTGGGACTGGTTCCATTCTTTCATCGCCTGACAGATCTCATGTTCTGCAGCTACCAAGTTCGTTCCGTTATCAGATCTCATAACTTCTACTTGTCCTCTTCTGGCAATAAATCGTCTCACTGCATTTATACATGAATCTGTGTCGAGTGAGTGTGCGATTTCAATGTGGATGGCTCTGACTGTAAGGCAAGTAAATATGACACCATAACGCTTGACTCGTGCGCGCCCACGCTTAGCTTCGAAAGGGCCAAAGTAGTCTACACCGACGTTGGTGAACGGTGGATGGTCAGGCAGAAGACGATCAGGTGGTAGATTTGCCATTTTCTGTTCACTCACGGCAGCTTGACTCTTCAGGCATTTCACACATTTTGAAAGCACACTTCTCACAGCTGCATTTCCTTTACATATCCAGACCTTTTGCCTTAGCTGAGCGAGGGTGTGGTTTCTCCCTCCGTGTCCGATTTCCTCATGAGCATTCCTGATGATCAAGGTTGTTACGTGATGATCCTTGGTCAGAATGGCTGGATGCCTCGTATGTTCTGGCAAGGCAGCATGGTGCAATCTTCCGCCAACCCGGAGAACGCCATCTTGGAGGAAGGGATCCAGTTTCACGATGGAACTGCTTCTCTTGATCTTTTCTCCTTTCTGCAGTGCACAAAGCTCTTCGTGGAAAGTTTGACTTTGGCAGAACTGAATAATAGCGGCTTCTGCTCTTCTGATGTCCTTGACAGTCAGATAGGTTCCTTTTAGGGAAGATCTCCATTTCTGCATGTGTTTCTCAACTGTTTTAGTTTTCACATCTTGACTTGGCTGGGCTTGAGACTCAAACATCTTCCTTCTTTCGCAGAGGCTTCTAAGTAGCTCCTTCAGTCTCAACATCCAGGCGACGGCCTTCCTCAGACTGTGCCAGTTGGAGTAGTAATGAGTTAGCTTGAAGAGAGGGTCTGTGCTTGAGTCGACTGCCTTAATAACATTCGTGCTGGTCATATGCTTCACTTCAGCATCGTCTTCACTTATCTCTCTTGAGAACTCTGATAAGACCGGCCATTGAGATTCGTTCTTGGCTAGGAAGTCAGGACCTTCAATCCAACTCTGACACTTCATGAAGTACTCTGCATTCATTCCTCGGGATGCATGGTCAGCCGGATTAGAAACTGTGCTGACGTACCTCCACTGTGCTGGCCTCGTGTTTTCTCTGATTGTTGATACTCTGTTTGCAACAAAGGTTTTAAAGCGAGCGCCATAGTTGTCGATATATCGGAGGACAGTGGTGCTGTCTGTCCACAGCACGGAGTCTTTGAGGTCCATCTGAAGCTCTCGCCTCAAAAGCTTATCCATTTTTACCGCAATGGTAGCTGCTGTAAGCTCGAGGCGCGGCACGGTGACTGGTTTAAGCGGCTTCACTCTGGATTTTCCTAGAAGAAATGAGCAATGGACTCGACCGTGGCTGTTCTCGATGCGGAGGTAAGTAACAACGCCATAGCCCTTCTCGCTAGCGTCGGAGAAGTGGTGCAGCTGGGCCGACACTACTGGACCAAATCCCTCAGGTTTGAAGCACCTCCTAATGGAAAAGCTGGAGAACTGGCTCAAGTCAGACAGCCAGCCAACCCATCTGTTTGCTATGTCTTCTGGAATCTCATCATCCCAGGCAAGTTTCATTCGGCAGAGATTCTGGACAATGATCTTCGCAAGAAGAATGAAAGGCGACAGAAATCCAAGGGGGTCATAAATTGAGCTTACGACTGAGAGGATACCCCGTCTGGTTAAAGGCATACTCTTCACAAGGATACGAAACTTGAAGGAATCTGATTCTATGCACCAGTCCACCCCAAGGGCCCTTTCCATCGGTAGTTCATCCCTGTCCAGATCTAGATTCTTGATCTCCTTTGCTCTCTCGTGTTCGGGAAGAGATGACAGCACTTCACGGCTGTTGCTAGACCACTTAGTCAAATGGAATCCTCCACTCTCGCAGAGCGCCACAAGGTCCTTGGTCAAGGAAGTAGCCTTTTTCTCATTAGAAGCTGAGACCAGGCAATCATCGACATAGAAGTGCTCTAGGACTGTAGTTACTGCCTCAGGTGATGATCTGTCTTTACCATCCTCTGCAGTCTTCCGTAAAGCGTAGTTGGCACAGCTCGGGCTAGACTTGGCCCCGAACAAGTGGACTACCATCTTGTATTCGCGCAGAGGCTGGTTTCAGGTCACCCTGTGGCCACCAGAGGAAGCGTAGGAGATCAGAGTCCTCTTTAGGGACTCTCACCTGATGATACATAGCCTCAATATCGGATATGAGAGCGACATGTTCATGGCGAAACCTCGTCAGGACTCCAACCAGACCATTAGTGAGGTCTGGACCCTGTAACAACTCCTCATTTAGTGACTTCCCTTGAAACGAGGCGGTGCAATCAAAAACAACACGCATCTTCCCCTTTTGCGGATGGGTCACACCATGATGGGGAATGTACCATACTCTGCCATCGTTGCGGTTGAGCTCGTCCGTGGGAACTTCTACTGCATAGCCTTTACTCAGCAGGTCTGACATGAAGGTCTTGTAGTCATTGTGGAAGCTGGAGTTCTTGGCAAGTTTTCTTTTCAGGTTTGATGCTCGTTGCTCGGCAACACATTTGTTGTTTGGCATCATCACGTTTTTGTTTCTGAGAGGCATTCCGATGCAATAGTGTCCATTGACTTTTTTGATTGTCTCATTCACAGACTTTATAAACTGAATGTCTTCTTGTGACATTTCTGACTTCTCTTCGCAGGCTTGCTCTGGAAAATCGTGATTGTATTGCTGTAATAGCATGCTGTCCACACTGCTGACTGACATTCTGTTGACTGAAGCACCTTGACCGTAGTGACTTGACTTGTGGTGGCTGTCACCTTTCTTGAGAGGGCCATTTACTACCCAACCAAGTGTAGTCTTTATTGCATAAGGCCCATTGTCTTGACTGTGGATAATCTCCCACGGCTCCATGGCAGAATGAGCATTCATTCCGATGAGCATCTCCACATCTGCGTCGATTTGTGGTAGCTGTATTTCTTTTCGCAGATATGGCCATCTTTCCAAGTCTTTCTCTACAGGGACATTGTCCTTTGTTACAGGTATGTCCGTGTGGGTGTAGACATCTGGCAGGCTTATGTACTTGTTTTCTGTCAGACCACACACTTCTAGATCTGAGAGCACGAAGCAGGACACAGGCTTCTCCTGGCCCATAGTACGGAGTAGCACCTGGGTTTTTTTTTACCATGGACGCCAAGCCGTCTCATCAATTTTTCCGAGCAAAATGTGGCAGAACTTCCTGAATCCATAAATGCATATGTCTCTACTGTCGTGTTGCTCTTCTTGGATTTGATGCGCACAGGCACGATGGAAAGGATGCAATCGCTGCCTCCGGCCCCGGTGACTGTTGTGAGTTCACTCTTGGCTGACACATGTTCTTGTGGAATTGAGTGTCCACTGATGGAGCCTTGACTTTTCTCAGGCTCGGCATGGGCCTGGTCGACATTGACTNTGGGCTTGAGACTCAAACATCTTCCTTCTTTCGCAGAGGCTTCTAAGTAGCTCCTTCAGTCTCAACATCCAGGCGACGGCCTTCCTCAGACTGTGCCAGTTGGAGTAGTAATGAGTTAGCTTGAAGAGAGGGTCTGTGCTTGAGTCGACTGCCTTAATAACATTCGTGCTGGTCATATGCTTCACTTCAGCATCGTCTTCACTTATCTCTCTTGAGAACTCTGATAAGACCGGCCATTGAGATTCGTTCTTGGCTAGGAAGTCAGGACCTTCAATCCAACTCTGACACTTCATGAAGTACTCTGCATTCATTCCTCGGGATGCATGGTCAGCCGGATTAGAAACTGTGCTGACGTACCTCCACTGTGCTGGCCTCGTGTTTTCTCTGATTGTTGATACTCTGTTTGCAACAAAGGTTTTAAAGCGAGCGCCATAGTTGTCGATATATCGGAGGACAGTGGTGCTGTCTGTCCACAGCACGGAGTCTTTGAGGTCCATCTGAAGCTCTCGCCTCAAAAGCTTATCCATTTTTACCGCAATGGTAGCTGCTGTAAGCTCGAGGCGCGGCACGGTGACTGGTTTAAGCGGCGTCACTCTGGATTTTCCTAGAAGAAATGAGCAATGGACTCGACCGTGGCTGTTCTCGATGCGGAGGTAAGTAACAACGCCATAGCCCTTCTCGCTAGCGTCGGAGAAGTGGTGCAGCTGGGCCGACACTACTGGACCAAATCCCTCAGGTTTGAAGCACCTCCTAATGGAAAAGCTGGAGAACTGGCTCAAGTCAGACAGCCAGCCAACCCATCTGTTTGCTATGTCTTCTGGAATCTCATCATCCCAGGCAAGTTTCATTCGGCAGAGATTCTGGACAATGATCTTCGCAAGAAGAATGAAAGGCGACAGAAATCCAAGGGGGTCATAAATTGAGCTTACGACTGAGAGGATACCCCGTCTGGTTAAAGGCATACTCTTCACAAGGATACGAAACTTGAAGGAATCTGATTCTATGCACCAGTCCACCCCAAGGGCCCTTTCCATCGGTAGTTCATCCCTGTCCAGATCTAGATTCTTGATCTCCTTTGCTCTCTCGTGTTCGGGAAGAGATGACAGCACTTCACGGCTGTTGCTAGACCACTTAGTCAAATGGAATCCTCCACTCTCGCAGAGCGCCACAAGGTCCTTGGTCAAGGAAGTAGCCTTTTTCTCATTAGAAGCTGAGACCAGGCAATCATCGACATAGAAGTGCTCTAGGACTGTAGTTACTGCCTCAGGTGATGATCTGTCTTTACCATCCTCTGCAGTCTTCCGTAAAGCGTAGTTGGCACAGCTCGGGCTAGACTTGGCCCCGAACAAGTGGACTACCATCTTGTATTCGCGCAGAGGCTGGTTCAGGTCACCCTGTGGCCACCAGAGGAAGCGTAGGAGATCAGAGTCCTCTTTAGGGACTCTCACCTGATGATACATAGCCTCAATATCGGATATGAGAGCGACATGTTCATGGCGAAACCTCGTCAGGACTCCAACCAGACCATTAGTGAGGTCTGGACCCTGTAACAACTCCTCATTTAGTGACTTCCCTTGAAACGAGGCGGTGCAATCAAAAACAACACGCATCTTCCCCTTTTGCGGATGGGTCACACCATGATGGGGAATGTACCATACTCTGCCATCGTTGCGGTTGAGCTCGTCCGTGGGAACTTCTACTGCATAGCCTTTACTCAGCAGGTCTGACATGAAGGTCTTGTAGTCATTGTGGAAGCTGGAGTTCTTGGCAAGTTTTCTTTTCAGGTTTGATGCTCGTTGCTCGGCAACACATTTGTTGTTTGGCATCATCACGTTTTTGTTTCTGAGAGGCATTCCGATGCAATAGTGTCCATTGACTTTTTTGATTGTCTCATTCACAGACTTTATAAACTGAATGTCTTCTTGTGACATTTCTGACTTCTCTTCGCAGGCTTGCTCTGGAAAATCGTGATTGTATTGCTGTAATAGCATGCTGTCCACACTGCTGACTGACATTCTGTTGACTGAAGCACCTTGACCGTAGTGACTTGACTTGTGGTGGCTGTCACCTTTCTTGAGAGGGCCATTTACTACCCAACCAAGTGTAGTCTTTATTGCATAAGGCCCATTGTCTTGACTGTGGATAATCTCCCACGGCTCCATGGCAGAATGAGCATTCATTCCGATGAGCATCTCCACATCTGCGTCGATTTGTGGTAGCTGTATTTCTTTTCGCAGATATGGCCATCTTTCCAAGTCTTTCTCTACAGGGACATTGTCCTTTGTTACAGGTATGTCCGTGTGGGTGTAGACATCTGGCAGGCTTATGTACTTGTTTTCTGTCAGACCACACACTTCTAGATCTGAGAGCACGAAGCAGGACACAGGCTTCTCCTGGCCCATAGTACGGAGTAGCACCTGGGTTTTTTTACCATGGACGCCAAGCCGTCTCATCAATTTTTCCGAGCAAAATGTGGCAGAACTTCCTGAATCCATAAATGCATATGTCTCTACTGTCGTGTTGCTCTTCTTGGATTTGATGCGCACAGGCACGATGGAAAGGATGCAATCGCTGCCTCCGGCCCCGGTGACTGTTGTGAGTTCACTCTTGGCTGACACATGTTCTTGTGGAATTGAGTGTCCACTGATGGAGCCTTGACTTTTCTCAGGCTCGGCATGGGCCTGGTCGACATTGACTTCTCTTTTGCTGTGAAGCAGACTTGGGTGTTTCTTGCTGCAGATTTCACATGTAGCTCTCTTTTTGCAGTCCTTTCCTACATGTCCTTGCGTTAAACACCCAAAACAAAGTCCTTTTCCTTTAAGGAAGTCAATTTTCTCCTTATTTGGCAGACCTCTTATTTTGTTACATGCACTCAGAGCGTGTCCTTTATTGCAGTACAGGCATGGCTCTTGAAATGCATTGCTTGTTTGCTTGTTCTTTCTTGATTCTGAGGCATCGTCATCTAGTGCAACACTTGTAGCACAGCCAGTGGTTCTTTTCAGTCGACCCATCGCAGGTTTAACGCTTACCTTGCTCCTTTCTTTTGCTTCGGAGGATTCTTTGACATCGCCGAACAGTGGGTCTAAAGCTATCTTGGCTTGTCTGTTGATATACATCACGAGATCGGAGAACTTTGCTCTTCTTCCTTCGTGTTCTTGTATGTCAAAGGCTATGACTCTCCATCTTTCGCGAAGTCTAAAGGGCAATTTGTGGACAACAATTCGAAGGTTGCTCGGGCTGTTCATCTCCTCAAGGTACTCCAAATCCTTCATGACGTTGTTGCATCCGGTGAGAAATATGGAGAAACTGTGAAGTGACTTGGCATCTTCTGCTTTGATTGGAGGCCATTTGACAGCCTTGTCCACATATGCCGCGGCTATTTTCTGCTCATTGCCGTAGTGATAGGTCAAGAGCTTTCTCGCTTCATTGTAGCCTTGTTGTGCACTCATGTGTTGGCAACTTCTAACCAGTTCTCTTGGTTCACCAAGGGTGAATTGCTCTAGATAGTACAAACGATCAGCGTCGTTGTCTGTACGGCTGTGAATAATGTGCTCAAAGGCCCTCAGGAATGGCAGGAACTCAAGAGGATCACCACTGAATTCAGGGACCTTCGTTGAGGCAGGTTGGCTAGTCTCTGTTGTGTGACCAACATCTCTGTGATATCCTTCTGTTTCAATATCACTTCGCCGAGTTCGACTTGCCTTCCATTGGAACTTGTGTTTGCGTTATCGTCATTTTCATTCTTTACTTGCACATAGGAGGTGTGTCTAGTTGGACCTTGAGATGCACTGCAGTCTTGGATAACTCGAGGACAGCTGGTCAATTTTGGTTTGACACCTGGAGCATAATGTTCGATGGTTGCTGTTGTATGCATGTTTTTGTTGAGGTAGGAATTCATGCCGTCGTCCATGTTTTCTGTGTCATCATATTCTTCCAAAACTTGTATCTTTGCTGTGGACTCTGCGATAGCAGTTTCAACATCCAGCTCCTCCATTTGAGCCTTCAAATGAATCTTCTTGGCTTTCAGTTGTGCTTCCATTTGAGCCTCTTCCAACTGCAGTGCCTCTTTTTTCTTAAGTGTGGCTGCACGCGCAAGTAGGGCTGCACGGTGAGCTTCCTCCCTTTTACGCAGGGATGAAGCATGAGATGATGCGCTGGATGACTTTGTGAGTCTACTGCATACGCTTCGTGGTGGGACTGAACCATAATTTTGTTGTACCGTGGATAGACTGTCATCTGGATTCACCTCTTCAGCGGCCTTGGCTCGCTGTCTTCCATTTATTATCCACTGCTCCAGTGTGGTCAAAAGAGTCTCATACTTTGTAAGATTTGGCTCACTCCAATACTGCTGGTCAGCTTTCCTTTCTTCATCTGATAACAGTTCACTAACTGCATTGTTTACTTCAATAAACTCATTTAGGAGTTTTGAGTAATCACAGAGATGATCTTGTTCTACTATAAGCGCATTGGAATCATTTTTCATGAGGTCTTTTATTTCTTCAGCTTTGGAGACAAGGCGTGCTAAGACACGTTTTCTGAGGTTCATTTGTTTATCAAGTTTCTCTTCTAGGGCCTTTGCAGTCAACTTTATCTTTCTTTTTATTTCTAAATCAACATTTCCCTCCATCTTGTTTTCATCCACAGACATTTGGCTATTAATGATAGGTAAGTCTCTTCTTACAGCAAACTCTTGCAAACTTCTGAAATCTGGATCAGCAGTCCTTTAATTTTAAAACATATAGTTTTCCAAAGTAAAATTTCAGGGCTGACTTTATTTCCAGAGGCAAACTCGAGCTTCCTTTGGGCTGATATGACTAGCTAACAATAGCGCCCTCTTTGTTCTGTGTGGCTAACTGCGGAGCTTAACGTTTGCGTGTTGACTTGGTCGCGTTACTTGGCTACGGTAATTACAATGAAGTAATCGTCGTCATTTGCCATTAGTTGCGAGATCCAGATTAATTTTTGTGTACTCATCCTTCATCGCTGAAGTCGTCTGGGAATCCGATGGGGTTGGCACCGCGCAAATCCTCTTCAGCTAGCCATCCCGTTCTCAACTCCCAGCGCTGCGCAACTTCCCTCGGATACCGGTGATCTTCTCTCGCCCTTGGCGATTGTTTTTCTACTTAATGTAGTGGTTAAATTTGCTCTCTGATGTTCCGTGAATTCTCTTCTTGCATATTCATGAAACCAACCACTTCCAGACGGAAAGAACGAGTCTACTCGTGTTTAGGTTTCAACGACGGTAGAAAAACAGTGTTCGCCCCGTCTTTTAATGAAGTTCTCACATAAACAAAACAGCAATGGCTTTCTCCACATACATACGTGAACTCAAAGCGCCAGCTCCCATTGGCTACACATCCGGAAATTCGAAACTAATCAATCTGAACCAATTCAAACTAAATTAAAATTATCTCATATGCAAATTATCAAACATAGTACAGCAATGTAACCCTAAATTTAGTTGCAACAAGCAGTCACTTCATATAACACAAATTACAATATTAATTTGAATCTGAACCAAAAAGGAGCCTAAATTACAACATAGAAAATGGCACCAACAGTATGTATATATGTATACATCTCACATTTTTGCGGTGTGTATATATGTTTTTATTTACTGATATTTGGGTTGGGGGGAAAAAATGTATGGATGGCTATAACTTAATTTTCTAACTGTTAGGTTGATCTGTAATTGTTTTTTTTTTTTTGCCTTTATGTTCATGATTGTGTGGTTGTGCTTTATAATGTATAAAACTCAATAAAAACATTTTATTTATTTATTTATTTATTTTTTAAACAAAGGGAATTGGGCACAGAAAGCTGAATGGCACAGTGAAACAAATGTACAGTTGATTGGAAGATCGATTAGATGAATTATTCAATTTGACAACAGTGCAACTGTAAATGAAATGAAAAGCTGGATGATCAAATTGGTGTGAAAATAGAAAATTATAGGGAGACATGCAGGATAAAAGCCTACATGTATAGTGAATGTTTAATGAGGTAGTCCTGAGACTAAACCCAGGGGTAGATATTCAGTCATCTTCAGAGTCTGTATCCGAATCGTATCCTCGTCCTCTGATAGTCTTCTTTTCCACTTTTGTAAATTTGGTTGCTGAGTTTTTAGTTTGTGTTGGAGGCTCCATCAAATTGCCGCTGTTGAAAGTCCGGAACAAAATTAAATAGAATAAAAATTATTTAAACAATAGACCTAATGTAAACCTCAAATCTTACCTGTAATTGATGACATCAGCACAGCCAAGTCTCCACTCAAGCATCTCAGTGGAAAACTCATCTGTATTACCCATATCAGAAAAGCCAACAACGTAGTCTTTTGTTTTTCCATCTATCAGCAGAGCCAATGTGGGAATGACTTTCACGCGAAGTCTCTCTGTGAGAAATGGCGCCTTCTCCACATTTAGTTTAAGAAATTTGGTTTCGACATGCTTTTTAGCCAAGATGGACAGGTGTTTGTCAAGGATATTGCATCTGTATTTGAAAAGGAGTTTGGTATTCAATTGTGCGTTACCAAAATACAAAAAATAAATGCTATAATACAGAGAAGTATCTGTAATTATATATTTTTCAGCAGTAAATGTATTTTACCTACCTGAAAGTAGAATCTCTATAGAAATGGCAGACAACTTTTTTGCTTTCTTTAACCTCACTGAAAAAGTCTTTCTCGCTTGGAATTTCTCTGTATTCTCCATGACCTTTTGACAAAAATTCCTTAAACAGAAAATAAATTAGATCAGAGAGGGGTTAAGTGAGGATGTAAGAACTGATTTTAGTTTTGGATCCAAAAGAATTACAGATTTTAACATGCACAGGGTTCAGTACAAAGTTGTATTTATTATTCAAATACTTTTTACAATTACAATTCCAGGCTTAAAAATAAATTTTCCACAAAGATATACCTGCTGCTATTATTTATTGTGAAACTGTTTCTTTCCCCCAATGTGTCTAATTCATCAGGAGATTCAGACAAATTCCTAAGTTCTGCTGCTTCTGTTTATGGAAATGAGACCAGCTGGACCCAAACCAAGAATAACTGATTGTTAAATGTGATGCCACACCAACAATTACATATTAAAAAGACAACACTCACCTGCTTCTGTTTTTGAGCTTTTTTGAGAGCCTCTAACCGCTTTTCTTTAAGCCTCTCGAAATCCTCCTCCTCCAACTCATTCAGTTTGCTCAGCTCTGCATCCACCTGCTCTTCCACTTTTTCCAAAACCTTTGCTATCACGTCCATTGGTTGATTAGCCATGGCTGAATGGTTTCAATACAACCTGTAAGAATAAAAAAAAAGGAAAAAAGACTGATGGTCAAATTACCCAAATGCTGATTTCAGAGACTGATTGGAGATGCATTAGTACAGTGACCAATCATGACTTCTCAATGTGTACACGTGCTTCTCTGACTTTCGCAAATGAACCAAAAATATAAAGTGAAACATCTTTACATACAACAGTGTTTATTGTATAACAGGCCACCACCAAAGTAAATTCAGCGACACAATGATGAACCCGCCCCTGTCAAAGGGAGTGTCGCCTCAGTTTAATATATCGTTTACAGACAAAGCCCCGGTAACAAGCGGCTAAGCTGTGTGCTAGCGACGCTATACTGCTGGATACTTTCAAAGTTAAATAGTGCTCAACGCAGTACGTCTAGTTTGTTATATCTTTTGTTCTAGTTTAACATGATACCTTGATAACATCTGGCGGTAGGCATTTTTTAAATCAACAACGCTTGCACAGTATGTAGGTTAGCAGTCTATAAGCTTAGCTTGTGTCTTGGTTAGCCATTGCTGGGCAGCTAGCTGACAAAATCATTGAGCGCAAGAGTCACGTTGCCCGTTTTGTTGTGCAAAGTCCAATGAAATACATTATGTGTACTATATTTAAGATAATCGTTAACGCAAGGGGACAGATGATCCATACGCATCTACTTACCTGTGCGCTTCTGCTCTTCTCATGCGCCAAGAAATGACCTAACCCGGAAGGTGCGTCACAGCAGATGTTTACGTCATAGAAATAATAAATAAAAGTCATGCTGTAATTTTACATAATTAACCATATACTTAACGACTTTGACAATGCAATCAACACATTTGACAGTTTATTTACAAAGACTTAAAAAACTTACAAACGTTCACAGCTTCAGGTCTTCAGGCACCAGCCAGAAAGGAAATGGCAAGACAGACCTTTTTATTTTGGCCATTCCCTTTAGAAACGTAACAGAAAAAGTGAACATCTTTGAGGTGAGCAAAGATTTGAACATTCTGAATTACATTCAAAATAATTTTTCAGAGCAAACAATTTTATTTGCATTTTATTTGCTTGATGTAGTCACATGTTTGTTTGTCAATAGCTGATTAAAAAATAATCTTTGTCACCTCTTAAATGTTAACTTTGTAGAAATACAAGGAAGTAGAGTCAAACTTTCTTTCTACATGTACTATACACAGGTGAGATACACAGAATTAAAAGTTTAAATTCCAAAAGTGGCATATATTCAAGTTTATAAAATTTACTCCAATATAAATGTTGTATGAAATGTTAGAGGTCTTGAAAGGACATCTTACTTATTTGCTGAAATAAAATGCATAGGCTAATTATTGATTGCCATAGCCCCTGTAAAATTGTTTTAGCTCAACAGTGCTTATAAATATGACTATTTGACCTTAGTGAAGCGCTTTGGCCAGCTTCTGACTTCCATAGAAAGTAGTGGAAACATTCATAAACGTATGTAAAAAGAATTACAATTTTAGAAGACAGTTACTAAGAATTCACTACACGTAAACAAATACATGACATAAACATTTACATGATTTTACATTATTTACACATAACAGATTTTGGCACTTGGTAAAAAAGAATACTACCTCATGCAGCCTTTGGCTGTTTTTTTTTTTTTTTTTTTTTTTTTTTTGACTTAGTAGTAAAACTTTTTTCATTGGATATGATGTTACATCACTGTTACATTCCTAATGAATGATGGAATGATCAAACCAATTAAAATATATATTTAAAAGTCTGTCCATTACAATCTTCAGAAGTCTACACACAGCGGGTACTAAAGTACTAAATCTCATGGTGAGTACTAAAGGAATACAAATGTTTTAAGGTGTTACTGCACATTTAAAATTTTTAATATTTTTGAAAATGGATCCATTATTTTACAAAGTGCTAAATCTGTAAAGAATTACCAGCATTACCTGTTAGTCTCATTAAGTGGAAAAGGTTGCCTTATAAGAATTAACTTTGGCAGCTGTACTGTACTCTTTCACACTTGTCTCTTGTTCCCTGGTTTTCGGTGTATTGTTTATGAGCAGTTGGCCAATAGGGAAACCCGTAAATCAAACTGGCAGCACACCATTTTGTAAAAATGTACATTATCAAAGTCAGTCTACTCCTGAGGATGTCCTTTTATGGTGACTAAACTTAACTGCCACTTTTATCACACCAACTTGAGAGTGCTACCATATGTTTGCTGCAGAACGACCTGAACATTGTCTACAATAAAGTCAAAAGCCATGCTCCAAACAGACTCCACCGACAACTTCATAAGCCTGAAAAATATGACAATTAAAGCAACGGAGAGAGCAACATTCCAAACAGAACAATTTTTGGGGGGAATGCATACCTTTTCATGTATTTTATGACCAAATCCAACTTCTCCAGATCTTTGTCCTCAATTAGATCAGTACAGTATTTCACAACTTGAAGTATGTCTTCCTCCATTGGTTCTAATAAAAATGGTTAAATTTATTGTCATTGTACAAAATACAACGTCGACAGAGCAAAACTGCAGCAGTAAAAATGAATAAATATAGACACTTTTCACATCCATGTGAGTGTTGTGAGTGTTCTGTGACGCATTTTTACCTGTGATAGTAGTGACCCATTCCCGCAGAAGAGTTTTAATGTCTGTCCATTCAGAGGCTCCAGCGAGTGTTGGAGAAGCACGAGACACTGCTGGAACCTCTGGGGTGTCTTGCTTCGAGCAACTATTTTCAGTCTAAGGGACCAACATGACCATAAGTAAACAAAATGTATATTCATTTAAAACCTTTTGACTCACCTTAAGCCTGTCAATTGGTTCCCCCAGCTTTATAGGAGATGGAAGGATTTTAGCTGAACTGTTGGTCAATGGTTGTTTCTTTAGGGGAGATGGGCCATTTTTAGCTGGACTTGAGTTGTTCTTCCTCTTGTATTGCCTCTTAACGCGAACAGGACCGACTCCTGCCTGTTTAAGCTGTAGCAATGGATTTCTAACCTCAGCTGCAGAAATGACAGGGCATGAATCACAGGGCTCAAGAAGATGGCAAATATACTCATGAATTTATTTTTACAAACTTACATGCTTGATCTTTTTGATTGAATGTTCGGCTGTAGGCAGACTTAATTTCATCCTGCAGCTCTTTGGGTAGAGCAGCGAAGACCTCTGGGTCAATCTATATAGGTAATATAAGGCCAGATATCAAAGACTTCAGTGAATGACACATAAAGAAGACCTACCCACCTGTGAGAAGTTGGGCAATTCTAAAACAATTCCTGTGTTTTCTGGTTGATTTGGTATTTGTAGTATAATTTTGCTTGCAGGTGGAGGCAACTTTGCAGAGTCAGAGGGAGGAGGATGAGGAGAAGGTAAATGGAGCTTAGGAAAAGAAGGCTGTGGATTTGCGGAAATGTCACCATTTAATTTCCCTTCTCGAAAAGACCATGATTGTTCCACTTGTTCTCGAAGTTCTGCAGGCAATGCTTCTAATACAGAACGATCCACCTGGAGCAGTATACAGAAATTATTAGTGAAAGGCAATTTTGGTGTGCTGTTACCACCCCCCCTCCAGACAACACCTACCTGGGAAGGCGAGGGAACATCAATGCTTAGTCTAAAGTGTGATTGAGGATTATTTTGAGTTGTGAAGGTTTCTCCTTTACTTGTTTCAGGAACTGCCTTGACAGAAGAGGCAGGGGCTGAGGACTGCTCTTGAGGCTTTGCTGTACTATTTTCATTTGTGTCTCCAGTACCTAGAACAAGTCAAATGTAATTTTATTCATTACAAACAAACAATTAACCAATGCAAACAAATGGAACCCTGACAGACCTATTTTGGGACATTGTCCTTGAAGTCCCTGTCGTGTGAACAAGTCTTTGATGGAGCGTGAGTGGTATTCTGGAGTCACAGAGTTATTTCCTTCAAGCAGCTGGACCTGGATTCCCACTCCTCTTAGATCTTGAACCTGTAGCTTCATTGTGTGGAAAAGCTTGATGACAGCCGTTGCAATAAGTTGACCATTGTTTGTAGACTGAGCAAGCATTACAGTCCTACAGATTATAGAGAATGGATAAAGATGTGATATCTTTGCTACAAAGAAAAACAAATGCTTGCAATGAACTGGTGGTGACTTGCCTGGCTATATTATCACATATGCCATGACCTCCATATTTAGCAGGCTCTATTGGAGCTCCCACTTTGCGACTCATGACTTTAAGGGTTACTCTGCGGCCCCGTAGTCCAGCACTTTTCAATCTTTTTTGAACTTCCATGGATAAATTTGTCAGGAAGCACTCTGCCTCATCAATCTATGAAAGCAATAAAATGTGAACTTTCATGTTTGGGTTTAAGAGAATATATGTGGATACTTACCCTGGTGAAGCGTATATTGTAGTTCATTTCAGCAGACACAGACTTGCGTTCCTTTTCATAACGAACAGGTCGATCATCCAGGCCTCGGCAAAAGCGAAACAGTGTTTGGCCAGTTCTTGGTCCAAACTTCTTTTGAAGTACAGACATAGACACTTGTTGGAGATCTCCACAAGACCTAACCCCTATTACAGCAAGTTTTCTGCCCATAGCAGGCCCAACACCTGAAGAGAAAGATTTCACCTTTGGAACAAATAAGCCACTGATATTAAAATAGAAAGTAATAAAGTTTAATACCTGGTAAACTGGTTACTGCCAAATCCCTGATAAAATCATCTACTTCTTCAGATTTCAGAAAATATTGCCCGTTGGGCTTGGCTCTACGGGTTGCCAGCCTAGCAAGCAGAATGTTGGAACCTTAACAAGGAGAAAAAAGACTGCATCAATTACTGTCTCTGCAACTATACATTTTTAAAAGGTAAACCCTTACCCATTCCAACTGAGGCACAACATCCAGTTTTCTCCATGATATCGGCTCTTATGACATGGGCCAGGTCATTTGGGCTTATTTCCAACTCTCTGATCGTTGAGGTGGCATCTATCAAGACCTCATCACAGCTCAAAGCCTCTATGTCATGAGTGTAACTGTGGAGAACAAGGGGAACAGGGTTATCTAATAAACTTTACATTTATTTTTAACAAATAAACTTTTCTTTCTTCTTACCTGGCTAAAGTCTCATACATTGTGAGAGCAACTTGTTTATATGCTTCAAAGTCATACGGGACAGACTGTAGTGTTGGACACAGCTGTTTAGCTTTGCCAAAAAACATTCCATTCTTTACACCTGCCTGCCTGTGTATATAGCAAGGTGTAAACAAATTACAGTAAAAAATATAGATAAAAATATATTTTAAAAAGCATTTAATCAAATAAAACTTTTACCTCGCCTCATAACTACAGGATGCAATCTCTGCCATAGAAAGAGCAGTAGCATCCTGTTCTACACCATTAATATGCAAGTCAGGTATCTCTTGTGAAGGAGTTCTGTATAGATCCCCATCCTCGTTTCCTAAGATACAAAATCCACACAATTTTATACACACTCTTAAAGCAGCATTGGTTATGATTTTGGTGCTGAGAAGATAAACGTAAAACCAAACATTGGAAAATTATTCATGGAGATAGTCAAATACAAGTTTTATTGCACGGCCAGTCACGACCACATGTTTTTACAAAACTGTACAAATACATTATGGTCTGGAACTGTGTCCAGTCTCTCCAATTTCCGATGGATGTGATTGACAAGGTGGACTAACTAATCAGAGAAATGGATTTGTGTTAAAATGTGTCTGTCCTAAAATTGTGGTTCCAGACCATCCTGCATTCAAACAGAAAGGAGAGACTGGCTTGATTTAATTTTGTGTGATGTTCCAGGCAAAGCAAGAACATCTCCACGGTGACAAACAGGTGGCAGATCATTCACTGGGAGTCAGATTTGTGTAGACAGAGGTCCCTCAAATCAAGAATGCATGTTTTTCCAAGATATTTTTGAGGAATAAAAATGTTTCACTCCATTTTTTGACAGAAATCTTATTCTCTGAGGCTTTAATTGATTATGGGCAGATAAACATATGCTGGACAACTCACTGTGTTGAACATGATTTTGTTTGTCTTCATAATATTTTTTTTCCATCTGAGGGTTGGTGCCAGGCCTCAGGGGCACTCGCCCTTGTCCCCGATTACTAGTCACAGCTACAGGTTTGCCTACAAGAAACAAAGAAGAGATACGTCTCATTAAAAAAGTATTCTTTAGATTATTCTAAGAAACTTGCCTTTTAGGTCTGGACGATGTCGAATGCCAACAGATACAAAAAAGCAATCCATGTCAACATGAAATATGCATGACTTAACAGTTCCAGATGAACCTGAAAATTGATAAAATATTTTTCTTTATATGATAAAAAAATATATATATATATAAAAAAAAAAAACACTAAATTGAATAATTGTATGGTTAGTCAGCATGTATTTATTTACCTTGGCTAGACAAATTGCCTTGTCCTTTCATTTTTCTAAGCCGATCCTTCCCAGGAAATGAAGCAGTATCCGATGTTTTTCTTTTACAGTGAAGTTCATTGACATTCAGAAAAAGCAGTCCTCCATGTTGAAATCTGATGTAAACGCGAACGTGAGTAGAACTCAGAAATCAAATTATCTGTTTGAGCCTGCAAATCTGAGGAGGACTTTGACAAAGTTTGCTCAGTAAAGGAACTGTTTTTGTTAATTGAGGAATGGTCAGACATATTGTGGTAACTCCCATTCAGCCGAGACACACATGAATTTTCTTGACAAGAATCACCATTGAAACTTGTCTCAGGCTCTTGTGAAGATGGACAGCAAGTCATTTTTATAGCTTTGGGTTCTTCCTTATTTATAGCGACAACACAATGCTGATCCTGCAATTCAATGTCCTTTCCAGACTGATTTTCAGGACTATAAGGAAAATCATAAGGATCCCCTTTTGGATGAGGACCTATTGAAGTAATGTGTTTGTGATCTGGACCTCTTGTCTTGCTCTCAAGCAAGTAAAGGTCAGAGGGCTTAGTAACAGGGGAGAGATCCCCCTGTTTTAAGGCACCGTTATTGAGGCGAGTGTGTCCATTTGTTAGAGAGACTTCATTGAGTGAAGAATCTTCATTTGCAGCCAGTGCTGAATGGCTTGTGTCAAGTAGCATTGCAGCATGTCCATTTCTGCAAATACATTTATAGAATAATGACCAAAAGTACATTAACATCTCAGGATTTAATTTACCCACTGTGCAAAAGCAAACAAAAATAACAAACTTACATTTTAATGTCCACACCATTCTGACATCTGAGTGACTTTATTTGAGGTTGTGGGTGGCCAAGTCTTTTGTCCTGAGCTACGCTGGAACTAAACTGTGGTTGTAAACAGGCATGGTTTTTGGCATGATTAGGGGAGGATTTTTTGTGGCAAGTATTTAATGAGAGCTTGCTGTGCTGTGGCAGAAAATTATTTTGACCGACGTTTGGTTGAGGTAGGGCTTGGAGGGGATCTACAATATTTGTATCTTGACGAACATTTATCCCCGTGAAAAGTACACCTCTGCCTTTAGCATACAGTTGGTACTGCAAATATGGAAGGAGTCGTCCAGCCTTGATACTGAAAATATATTACATACAGTATTAGTTGGGGAAAAAACAAAACAATTCCACTGTTTAACTAAAAATGAGCACACCTGTCAGTGATCCACTCTGGTCGAATAACTTTTTCACCTTTAAGATCCTGAATCTTGCTGTTGGGCAAATTATTAGCTATAATATGAGTGGTCTTAGAGCGACTGTAGTAAACATGGAATTGGCCACCGTGTAGCATCATGAGTCTGCGCAACTCATCTGCACTTGGATCTGTCATAAAACGTATATGTGTATATGTGAAAAATCAGCAGAATTTTGCTGGGTAAAGTAATTCAGACTATAAAAACAATTATTTTATACCTGTGTATCCATTAACATATATTGAAATTCCATTGAAAATAGTTGAGGATGTGCCTTCTTTGTGTTTTTCTCTGGGGGCAGCAAGTTTAAACTGTTCATCCAGCTTGGAAACTTTGGCAGCCATATAGCCACCCTGCATGTAAAACAAATTACAAAACAAAAATAAGTAAGATAATATTGTGCAGTATGGTCTTTATCTAATCTAATTTTATATTATTAAGAAATAACATGAATGCATAACTCACCCTTCCAGCCCAGCCATTGTCATCACCTGCATTAGATTTCTTCTTCATCCATCCTTCTCGACTCATGCTTAGCTACCTAATGTTAAAGAATTCATAATCAAACATGTTGCAAAAGCACCGCAAACTTTCAAAAACTGAACCAATCATCAGATCTATTTTAAACACCGGAATGGATCTCAACGCGGCTAAAAGATCATTTGAATGATAAGTTGTTTATTGTTGTCATTTGAGATAAACAGTATTAGCAGCGCGGGTGGCAGCCAAGGACATGCCCGGGCAAATATGGGAATTGACAGGTAGTTAGTCTGAATGCAAACGCTAAATGCTAACCCTAGCTAGACAGACAGAGTACTTGGGGCAATGCTTGGCGAGTCAAGCATGTCCCCGTGCAGCCGCGACCCTACTGCAATAACATGAAGCCACTTGAAGCAGGCGGAATACAGACTGTAGCGTGCTGCATTGACTCATTATGAAATGCACATGTAACACAAATCAGTTTTAAAACTCTTTGACTCATGACTGGATTATTGTGCTACTAGTAGACTGAACAAATCACACTTTGAGAAGCTTGGTAACATAAGTCTTGTTTTGACATTACCTTTTATGATGTGAAACGCAGCTTGTTAGCCACAGACTTCTTTCTGCAGACACAGCCCCGGTACAATCCAAGTGCGCGGTGATAAGAAAGATAAGCCCTCCACACTGTTAACTCGACCCCTCAGGCTTTGTTTTGGTCGCGACAAAACCACTTTCAGTGAACCAAAGTGCCCCTATTTTGTCACGCTGCCACGCCATGTCACTCCAGTATTTTCGCCCACCTCCCAGTCCTTTAGCTCTCTACCGCCTGCTTTGCTGCTGCTTTCCTTTTCTATACAAGTTATACAAATTTGGACAAAAACTCAAACACTTCCGGATTTTTTTAAATAAAACATTATTTGTCAGGTTATTTAATCAATTGGTTGATGAATGAAGACACGAAACCAAATGTTGACAGTTTTGGTAATATTTCTTGATACAGTTGCCACTATTATAGATACATTATAAAACGCAACAACAAACAACGCCAAATAAAACCGAACAAATATGACACACTTATTTTGTAGTAATGATTTTACTTCCGGTTACTCTGTACTTCAATTCGAAGCTTGATGTCAGCTTTTTGGACCGCTGGTTTCCCTCAGCTTGAATGTATATTGTAGTGCTGCCACTACGCGGTGAGCAAGTGCATGTCACCTCAGCTGACGGGGTCATTCTGAACCAGGCGAATGATGACTTCTCCATCGCAGCTTTTGGGTGAAACTGAGTGAACCATTTGATCATATGGGCTTGCTATATGACATTGACGTTAGTTTTGTCTTGATTTATTAGCTCAAACTTATGTATGAAAATAGTGTGTAGTATGCAACGCAAAGTCTGATATGTTAGCTAGCGTGTTTGAGATCTGAACCGTAGAAAGATAATTAAATGAGCCCTATGTTCGCAGTACAATTTAGAGAAAGGCAAAGGTCTGAACGTGTCCTCAGACGGCCTTGCACGCGGGCACTCGCCGTGACGCAGAGGCACGTGGCATACAAAAAAGAGCGAGCCTTTATGGCAGATGTCCAGATTACAGTTAGCGTTGTTTGATTACAACTAGTGTCCATATTAACTCGTGCACTGAGCGTACAGCTGTGTCTCAGGAAACAGACACATGTATAAAATTCAGTCGTGGGAAGCTATTGACCCTGGGCTTGCAGAGCCCCGAAGATCTCCAGGTTGTTCCCTGTTGCTATGGTACCAGACGGTGGGATGCTGAAGTTTAATTCCAGCTTTTTCTTCCTTGGTGATGAGGGAGGAAGAGGATGCAGAATCACAAAAGAATGATGATTTAGGTTTACCGCGATAAGAAAATACATTTTATAATGGATTTGGATATATACCAGGTTAAATTCTGAGGTTATATGACATATATATCCACTATATAGGTTAAACTGAATTATGCTATATTTTCCAAAACGATCAACACAATACATTTGTATTTTTTAGTAGGCAATATTTAACCTACTATAGCCTAAGACAAGAGATGTAAAATATTTCAACATGAATAATGAATAACAAGTGAAAGGAAAGGATAGGCTGAGTAATAGTAAACACTCAAAAATTTAATTTATTATTTGTTTTGTCTACCAAATGAACTCAACACAGTCAAATAAAGCTCCCTCAGAAAGAGAAATTAAAATTAAACTCAGTCTTTGAGTTGTTCAGTCAGACATGTGTGTGAAAGCACACTAACATCCTATGAGGATGACAGGCAATAGACTCCAAACAACACAGTAGCACCTCAGTTATTTGACATAAAAATGTATCATTATAGAGACAAATGTTCTGCACTTGGTCATTTTGAAGTGAGCCAACAATAAAGCAAACGGACTGTGACAAATCCAGCCTTTCTTAGTTCAGTTTGGCACTAATGCGTATCCACTGCAGAGCTTGCCTGGTGTACTGCACAGCATGGGCAATGCTGCTGTGGAGTGTCAGTGGGCCAGATAAGGTGTTCAAGTAGTTGAAGAACTCTGAAAGGAACAAAACAATAGATGTTAAGTTAATTTTCACAATTACATTGTGGATATAGGTCACTCCACCATATTCAAGGCTTTTTTTTTATATACCTATGTTCTCCTTTGCTAGGCTGTCTGCTACCTCCCAGTACTCATAGCTGTACAATACACTATTGGTAATGTTTAAGTGGTTTGCTGCCATCTGGTGGATTCTGTGGGGAATGTTGATGAAGGAGGAGGACGTGTTGGCCCCATGTGAACTCCAGCTGCGATTTTTTGCATTAGGAGAGAGTGACGACGTATGTCCTCCAGGGCTCCTGAGACAATTAAACACAGCAGATTAAGCTAAAGGCAATGCATTATCCAGTAAAAACTTATAGATCACCTACTTTGCAGAGCCGTTCCAACAAGGGGCACTAACAGGCACTTTAGGAGAGGTCTGCCAAAACCACAACAATATGTTTCATTTGGAAACTATCAACATAGTAAAACTGTTTTTATTTCTTTTTCAGAAGTACCTTGAAATAATCAAGCAGAACTTTGGAATATTTCAGTGCATGGTCCTTTTTTAAGCGAAACATCTGCCAGTACAGAAGTGCAAGGCATCTGAAACTGCAGGCACACACTAATTGTAAATGAGATGCATAATCAGTTTTACAGCATCAGTGTGCACATACACACCACAGAACGGCCAGTTGTTTGTCTTCCTGTCTTGCTCCTGGACCTGAATGGCTCTTCAGTCTCATTGCATATCTTTAACCAAAGGGATATTAAAGAAACATTGTTATATTATGTTATTTTGTAGTGTCATGAGATGCCAGAGGCAATAGTGGGGCAGTTTACCTTATAAGTTCAACAGTCTCTGCATACATTGTGTAGGGAGACTTTGCTTCAAGAGGACCTTGTTCCATTGCCTTTCCACACTCCATAAAAGACAATGCGGCATCCACATAATTCACTGCCTTTCCAAGTTTGTCAACCTAATTAAGAGAACATAAAGATGCAGTTATGAGGCATAATTATTATATGGACATTTGTTTTACTGTTTAATTATGGATAAGTTTATTAAAATTGTAGTTGCCAAAGGAAAAGTGAATTGGTCTTTTTTAAGTGGAAGACATTTCACTTCCCTAGTCTTTTTATCTTTTATTATATTATTATTATAGATGGTATCAAGGGAGTCTGATATCACCCATAGTGTTCGGTTCCAGTCAAATGAAGCTCACAAGGCTTTTACAGGAGTGAATTTGGAGTTTCATATTAAGAGTGGGAATTTATTAATGGACAAAATAGTGAAATGAACACACCAGGATCATGTAGAGAGGGGTATTATGAACATTTTAAGACCAAAATGTCGAGGCCCACTGCAGCAGTTACAGAAAGAGTGGTGACAATTTTTTTAGTCAGTTGGATTCGATGCAGCAGCTAGCAAGTTATCTGTCCATTTTATACAGCCTACGATTATTGTTATATATTTTATTAATTTATTTTAAATTTATTTGCCACAAATTATCTGCATGATTGATGAATCCATGAACATAATGCTTCTAGTCACAGGATAATTTGTAACCCCGCGTCCCTTTTGCAGGTGTAAAAGAAATACACAACACAAATATAATACTACACAGATACTATTTACACATGGGTAGAGCTTTGGTCTGTTTTGAGCCAAGATTTGAAGAGGTCAACATTTTTAACTCAAATAATGTCTTAATTATATATACCTTTCTAATATCTTGACTAAAAGTGCCACTGATAAACTTGTATTTGTTTAAATCAAGATTAGTTTGCTGTAATCCCATATTAGCACCATGGATCTAAAATTAAACTCTATAAACATGAGCTCTGGATCTCTCCGTCTAGGCAGTTATTCATTTGCTTGTTTCCTGTGAATATTGCTCTATCTGCTTGTCCTATATTAACAGATGGCTTTTGCATTGTTTGATTCTCAGGCTGTTTCTGTTGATTAAATTAACAATTTTGTGATGCTTTGTGAGACCTCTGCTGCTGTGACTTTGGCCTCTACAAAAATAAACTGAATTGACATAAGAGAAGCCGACTATCTAAAGTACAGTGGAATATTTATATTTTTGTCAGGCTTTTTAAAAAAACTGGATTAATAGTCAGATTTGTCAAAACCTTTTAATATTAAAGTTACACAATGCACCTTTACTTTTAGAAAGCATACATTACTGACATAATTGAGGAAAATGTGACCCATGAATCTTTGTAATAAAAAAAAAAATCCAATCAAACACGACTAACCATTGCGTCAGCCCGGTGCTTCATCCTCTTGGCTTCATGTAAATAGTACTCTGCGTGGTGTTGACTGCAGAACACAAATAAATAAAATTAACAGTGTAAAAGGCATACACATTAGACTTTTGCTGAATTTTCAACTGTCTCTCACGTTTCAGGAAGCGTCACAGCCCCTCTGTGTCCTGATGGGCCCCAGGATTCAGTAGATGGTTTAGTGCTTTGAGAACATTTGAGAGATTCCACCTCCATCTTTGGCTAATTTCACAAGAAAGAAGGTATTAAAAGCCCAACTTCTTTATAATCACTCACAACTACTTGTCAATAGTTTTACTTTGACCGCAACATCTCTTTTCTTGTCTCTGTTCTTCTCAGGTGTCTTGATTTGGAAAGGAGGCTTAATAAACACTGGACTGTCAGCTAATGGTGATACCGGGGACAATGGCCTTTTACTGTCCAAATACTCATCTATGGGCCTATAAGTATACATTTTCATTAAAGAAAAAGTAGTTTTCATAGTTATACATTTTACGTGTGCTTTAATTTTCTTACCTACTGTGTGTAGTTTCAGTCAAAATGTGATTGTCAGCTGCTGGACCTGAAGATTCATTTGCACAGGATATACCTCTTTTACTTTGTCTGTGTGAGACTCCATTCTCCATCTGATCACAGAAGAAAAGAGTATGGCGTATTAGTATAACACTACCATCTACTCACAACACATATGGGAATGATGTGGGATGATGGGTACCTTGCGTTTTCTCTTGCCATCAGGGACATACAGGTGTCTCATAGCCCCGCTGTGTTTGTCTTTTGTAGCAGAAGAGACCTGTGATGGAATCTTTTTGACAGTAGGAGGGGTAGTGCTGTCTGGGACCCTTTTGAGGAGACAGAGATCGATTTGCACCACCAAATTTCCAAGTCCACGCTGAGAGGATCCTGCACTTTTCTCACTACGGCCAAATGGGACTAAAGTATAGAGTTTTTGTCTGCACTCGCTTTGTTGTTTCTCACATGGGATACCTATTCGGACAGGTGCTGACTTTGACCTGTTGACATCGGGCCGACTTGGGTCACGAGACCTTCCGTGAACAGTTTTTTGGGAAGTTGAGTCTGCAGGGACCTTTGTGATGGGGGCCTGATATTCAGAATCTGCACTTGAGGACCAGGTAGAAGAGGGGGATGGACTAGGGGGTGTTGGGGAACCACGCGGAGAAATGGTGGTCCGTCCCTTCTTGGTTTTGTCTTTTTGTTCCTGAAGACGGTGATGGCTGGTGGGTGGTTTTGGATTGACCTGGGCTTTGTGCCATTCGTGTTTCTGTAACTGGTCTCTCTTGCGATGTTCCCTCTCCTTTCTGCTCCTTCTTTGCTCTGCGGGTGCTTCCTCTTCGTAGTCGTCCTCTGAGCTCTGGATCCAGGGGCGTCTAAGCTGCTCCTCCGCCAGCCTCCTGCTTTCTCGTTTCTCCCTTTTGCCCTGTTGATTGTCTTCGGTGCTATGCTTTTTTCTTTCGTGTTCTCTACCCTCAATATCTACATGTTCATTGTACTGCTCCTTAGACTCTGGTTTCCTCACTGAGCGCTTTAAATCCTGCACAAAAGTGGCAGTAGATGTTGGCCTTGGTTTGGAGTTTAAATTCTTATTGGTGGTAGGCTGGGAATGGGAGCTATGATGGGTCTTGTTATTGGTCTCACAACCTGAGTTTATATGAGAGTTATGTTGAAAGGAAGGCTTGTGGCTAGATTTGCTGCAGTGGACTGTGGTTTGCTTGGATTTGGAAATGTCAGAAACTGGTTTTGAGCTAGGAAAATGATTAGGCTTAGTTTTGTGATTATGGCTTGAAATTGTATCAGTCTTTGATCTACTATGATTTTGTTCTTCTGTGTGTCTAGATTTTTGTTTAGATTTGTGGAGCTGTTCAGTACTAGTTTTATTCCTATTCTTATTCTCAGTATTTTCAGTATTAGACAAATGGTCACTCCATATTCTACTTTTTTTCACCTGAGTAGCTGGTTGCAGGTGGCTATGAATGCCAGGATGCTCTTGATGATGAGCAGAGGGTAAAGTAGGACTGGGGCTCCGTGGAGGGTCTCTTGGCAGTGGGCTAAGCTGTCTGGCTCTAGGACTTCCACATGGACTCGGACAAACACTTAAAACTGGGCTAGGGACTGGACTCAGTCTTGGACTGGAACTGGAGCTGGTATTGGGGACTGGGCTGGGGTACCCAGGGCTTGGCACAGGCGGACTGCTGGTTAGTCTATAATTGAAATGGGGGATAGAAATAGGACTTTGGCAGGAGCTGTATTCTTGGTTGCTGTCCCAGGACCTGGCCGGTGATGGGGCTCTTTGGGCGTACGGAGAGGGCGGGTATCCAGGAATGTTCTCAGAAGGATCCTGTTCACCGCTGGATGATTTCTTTCTGGCCTTCCTCCACCACTTATTCAACTGCCACTGGGCCACTGAACGTTGACCGAGCTTAAAATAAACAACACAAAACAATTATTCCAACTGACAAATACAGGTATGTAGTGAATTTTGATTTTGTGATTATTTATATGACTGAAGTTGATATTCCAGTTTTTGTTGTCATCATAAATCTGAGTGAATGTAACTGAAATTAAGTGCTCAATACAGTCATTAGTCATTTGAGAAAACACATACTGTGGATGTGTTATAATACATAATGAATAGTGTATTTTTAGGTTTTTAATGTTTAGTTTTAGCTTACAAGTTAGGATCCCATGATTACTCACTCATGCTCTTCTTTTTCAAGTTCACATCTGTACATACTACCCCCATCCAATTAAGTCAAATGACTCATGTAATGTTGACAAAACATTCTACAGCCACTAATGGAAATAAAACCAGAAAAGTACAATACTCACAGCCTAAAGTTATATTCCACTGCCTCTGTCTTGAATGTCTTTTCCTCTCAGACCAGGGCTAAATTGAACCTCCACTTCCCAAGTCAAACAGAAAGTCCCACATCGATTGCTCTCTTTCCTGAGAGGACACTGCATCTCTTGTACCATCGCGACTGCCCTCCCTGCTTCTCCTCTGTCCCTCCCTCTTTCTCTTGCTACCTGGAATTCTGTATATGCAGTCTTCAAAAACTCCAACCCCCATCTCCTTCTTCAGAGACACTTGAACGCAAATGAAAAACACATGCTTTACACCCCACCCATCCAACGCGCACTCCTACCTCCAGGGGCCCAGCGTAGTTTGCATTTGGTCTCACAGTCCACTATGTACAGGGCTTTCCATTCATTGAGGTTTCGTTTCCATTGCCTGCATATCTGAGGCCAACTCCCACAATAAGTAACAAATCTACCGTGTCTCCCTCATCAACTTATTACAAACAAACTATGTAATATGGTAATAAATATAGTCACATAAACTCATTATAATGTGTTAATTAACTCAAGAGACTCCCAGCTCCATGGAAGTTCTGAATAAATGTTTAATATTGTCATTACTGAACAGTATTTAGGTCATTGTATGAAATCATATGTGTAACTTAAATATAATAATATGATATAGTGGTATGTTTGTACCTCTTTGCTGCTGCAGGGGTCTTGTGCGTTGGTGGGTGACACACTTTCGGGGTGAGGACTGGAGCTCTGGGAGTGAAGACTACTGGTGCTCGACTCAACACTGGAGTTTGAGTCAGAGGATTCGGAGCTGGAATGTCGCACCCTCCTGCCATGTGAGAGCACTCGCTGGGCTGTCCGGCTGTCATTCAACACAAACAGAGGTGGGCTGAGTGGGCCAATACACATAAACATCACTGAAAACCCTGTTGTGTGAGGAAACAAAATTTATATGCACAAGTAAAATGTCTAAAAGAGGAAAAGTTGAGTACCTGTGGCTATCCCATGCTGGCTCATGATTTACCTACAAAGCAAAAATGCATAAAGTATTCTTGTTGTGGGTATCCAGAACCTACATATATAAGAAATACAAAGCTAGTACTAAAAATGAAACCTACTGTTTGGGAATCCTCTTCATCACTGCTCAGCTTCAGATCATCTGCAAGCATGCTGTAAGGAAACAAAATGGGGCTGAATGTGAAAAAGGTTACCTGATTTTATAGGCACGTTTTTATTCAAATAGCCCATTCTTATAAATCTGTTAGCACTTACATACTGCCATACTACTGCTATAGGTCAATTATTTATATTACCTGAGGAGTAAATAAAAGAACATATGTTTTGGATCAAAACAAGGACATAAAGAGTTAACTAACTGGGGCACATCACTTCCCACTGACAGCTTTCAAGAATGTTCACTGACCTTTGACCTACCCTATGCTCTATAGCCTCAAGCACCCTAATTTCCTCCTTCCCTTTATTGAGTCCTTTCTTAAAGTTATACACACGTGGATTTGTCTTATTTTATGGCTAAGAATGCTTGTTTGTGGTTGACATATGGCCCTGTACCGCTGGTTTCAAATTTGATGATTTCTGATCACGTTTCTTCATTTTTCACTTACGATTTGTGAGGGGCCACATGAGGGTGACGGGTCATTCGCAGCTGTGGATCCCCCTGATGACCTGCTGACAAAAACAACCTTAAATAATGAGGTGTTTTTAGCCAAAAAACAACTGATGGAGCTATATTCCTATATCAATACTTACATTGCCTTGGATGTATGGATGGCTGCGTAACATCCTTTAAAAGGGGAAAAAAGATTATGACTTGCATTAAAATGCACAATAAAATACAGTTACCTTTTGGGTTACCTTAGGTTTATAGAGGATTCGCTGTGTATTCTCACCCTCCAAAGTTTGTTGGGAGATCCAGGACTGAGTCATATCCTGTGTGAATAGTAAAAGTGAAACCTATCACAGTTCAGCATTGTAAGACAAATAAAGGTTCTCTTATAATAGTCTTTAAATCATTTATATAATACCTAATTTTCAGTTCACACGAATAGCGTGATTCCACTTGATTCCACCAGAGGGAGTAATTTGGCCAATAAGAAGCTATACTTAGTGGGATCAAATTAACTGTTCTGAATTTCTCATTCTTAAGAGCAATACATGAGACAAATGATACTGTACCCTGAAAACAATGTTATTAAGTTATGTAGACTTTATCAGTGTAGTATCAGTGCTCACCTGGTGGAGCTTGTGCTGTGTATTTTGAGTAAAGGAGGAACGGTTCCCAGCTCGAACTTGTTAGCTCCATGTCACTGCGTCTTTTTGTTTCTCATTTCCTGTCTAAGTAGAATATCTGTCAAAACAAAAACATGATATTACATTAAAGTCAACTTGTTATTACTTTACACTTATACTTTGCTCTGGGTGACTATTTGGTACAATTTACTGCATACAACTGTACAACAACACACCCTAATGTAACCGATAACCCTATGTCCTGTTTTCCTTAAGACCTCTGACATATACATTTATATAAATATGCCTTATTTGACTCCTTTGCTACGTATCTAAAATGTATTATTACCATTTATATTTTTTACTCTTTGTTATTATAATATATTGTGATATGTGTACTCCTGTGTCCAAGTAATTTCCCTTGTGGATCAATAAAGTTTGTCTAAGTCTAAATTTGCATTCATATATATTATTTTTGGATCACTAGTAATGTATGTGCAAGAGGTGCTGAGTGGTATGATAACAAATATTGAAGCATGATTGCTACAAAAAAAAAAAAGCTACAATATTGAAACTACTTTATGTTATTGACACAAAGAAGAATAATCCCAGTGAGCCAATTTTTTAATATACAGTATCATTAAAAGACCTGAGATGCAACAAATAAATAGCAGAAAGAACCAATAATTAGCCACAGAAGTTATTTATTCTACCCTCTACAGCTCAAATCGCATCATAGTACAGAAAAATGGCTAAAATCTCTTCACTATTGCAAAGAAATTATACACAAGATAAATACTGCACCCTAAAATATATTGTTCCAGCTTTCATATATTGAATGATAGTAACTTACTTAGTAAATATCCTGACAGGCCCATACCAAGTGGTGCAGTGGTGATAGTACTAGTGTATATGTATGTATATTTCAGACCAGCTGGCATATACATACTTAAGCCTCTCCCCCTCACTACTGCTCACTACTGTCTGCAGTCCTGGGGGGGTGTTTCCTCTCTCTGCTCTGCATTAACTCTCACAGTTAGTCACCAAGGACAGAGCTGAATCTACATCAAGCTGTCTAAGAGGGATGTTTATGTGTCACTATTCTTATTATGTTTCACTTTTATCTCATTCCTAAACAATGCATTCACAGTCATTTGAAGAGGCGTATAGTAACAGTTACATGTTTATGATAATGCGAGTACAAGTTTACTCTATACTCTCAAAAACTTAAATTATCCTTTGCTTCATGAGTGTAATACAGTATATCAGCTGTAATACAATATGAAAACATTAAATTACATAGACCTCGTAGTTCAACATTCTCATACTGTTGGTTATAAAAATGGCTGTGTATTTTTTTTCTTTTATTGTTTTGAGTTATTTATTTTCTCCATTGCTTTAAAGAAAATCTGAGTTATTACAAGTGAGATAATTCTGCTTGTTGAAAACAGTGTATGCTCATTTACTGTCAGGTTTGTAAGTCTCTCATTCTCACATGTTTCTACAGGTCTTATTAATTCAATTTGAAATCTATTCAATGCCCTGCAGCTACAAACAACATCCAAAGCAAAATCCTATAGTTATCCTATAGTTACTAGAGCTTTTGTCACTTGAGACCCCTACAGGGAAAATGGTGGAGAATTAATGGGTTATTCTCTTACCTCCTGAGTCTGATTGGAACATTGACTTCTTGTTTCCTATCAAAACAAAGCAGCAGAGGATAGTAAAATTGCAGAAATATTGTAAATTGGTTTTGACATATACATTGTCAAATTGCTATGTACAAGTTCATCTAATCTCTAATCTTCATGACATCGCAAGGTGGAACAGAGCATTTTGAGCTTTGGAGATGTAGCCAGACTTATAATAAAGAGTTACTTAACATGTGTGAATGAAATAAAACACAACTCCGAGTATGTTTTCAATGAGGTAAGAAGATGGCTAAAATATAACAATATAGAACCTTTAAGATACTCCACTGAAGAAAACTGGTTGAGTTCACCTGCGACTTAATAATGATTTTGGATTTGTACAATATATGTAAATGTGGTTGCTGGGTTGTATAGAGGTACGTGACAAATCTCTGAAGTTACAGCTGGACTACAGATGCAATGGACTTTCAGTTGACTGTGGGAGACATTATTTGTAACTTTCACATTTCAGTTCACAATGTAAATTTGGTTCATGTCACACATGAATGCTACTTTCTGAACATAATGAGTAGCATTTTTAGTTAAGTTTCCTGGTCACTGAGCATGTTTCTTCCGGTGCATATAAAATCTCAAGACCCATCAATTTAGAATAGCTTTTAATGTTAAAATGTTTCTCTATGTGATTCACTGTTTTTATCTTTCCTGTATTAATTGTCTATTGCTCTTTTGACTGTTTTAATATTTGTTTTGTAAAGCATCTTTGGGTGTCCTGAAAAGCACTAAATAAATAAAATGTATTATTACTAAACTCAACTTGTTGATCTCAAAAAGCCCGTGTATAGACAGCATCTTCAAATAAAAAAATAAAAGAAGATTCCCCATTCCTGTACATATATGCTTTATTGCAATCATGAATGCAATTTAAGTCTCTGTAATGTATTTCTAATCCCATTCTGTCAATCACTTAAATGGCTCAAAAAGTATCCCCAAAACAACAGGAATGGTGACTATGTAGTACCCTAGCCTCATTACGAGTCAATAAGAAGTACATTAAAGGAAGCAAAACACTAATGGCCATATTATCTCATGTACTTGATTTATACCAGCCACAGTCCTAGTGCAATGCCCTAATGAATGAACTCCCCCAGGGGCCAGCCAAACCACAACCTTTCATAACACCTGCAGCAAGCAGCTTGCAACAACTGTACTGTACCACCTGTTACATTCTTAAAGTGGCAAACACTGAAGTTATGCTGCTTCCAAACTGGTAAAGCCATATAGACCTATCATTATTAATAGAAACTATTTAATATAGGATGCAATTTATTAAAAGTAAAGGGAAAAAAATCTGCATTTACCTATATGTCAAGATGGTGCATCCTGGAAAATGAACAATAGCTTATAGCAGATATTACCAAGAAGCCAACAAGCCAAAGTGATTGTAGATAGTGTCTCACCGAATAGTCGGCGCATCGGAGCAGAGAGCGGACATCAGAAAGTTTCCTTTTGTCGAAGGGGACAGCAGGCATGTTTTCACGGCACTGGTCAGTCGCCCCCTTCCGTCCCCATTACAATTATTTCTCTGCTGTCCCTCCCGCTGAGAGCAACGTCGTGCACATCTAACTGAACCACCGGGAAGGGGGTTTTCTGTCAGTGAGGGAGGCGAGAGCGACGTGTGGAGCGCGCTAACGTCACCTATGACACGCATGGTTTTACGCACATCACCGTGGAGTGCCAGGAGACTCATGTATCATTGTGAGATGCGTGGCAAGCTTAAATGCCTAGTCAACATTAATACATTTTTTTCGTGATCTAAAACAATTAGCGTATTTTAATCAGATTAAATTGCCTGTTCTGTGTCAAAAGTTGATCTTTAAACTCTTGTCATCATTGCCCACTTCTCACAGACACAATGTAGCCAAGTCCTAAACTATCTGAATGTTTTACTGTTGTCTACTTTTTGAAAACAATCCATATTCCTCCTAAAACAGTTTGCACAATTTTAATAATAGCAAAGGGATTAGCCTATAGTTTGGTTAATATTTAGCTTTTCACAGTGAAATGCGCAAACTGCTAGTAGTTGAACTGGGAGAAATAACTTGTAAATCTGACAGTGTTAGAAAGTGGAAACAAATAAAGCTGGAATGAAATGCCTGGGGCCATGCAGTCAACAACATGCTTAGATACAAACCCTTGGTGACAGGACCTCAAAGGCACAGCCACATCCCCTGGTGCTGTGCGCTAAACACACACGGCCCCAGGAGTCGACCCTCCTGACAACACTCTCTTGCACACTTCGCAAAACAAGGTGCCTGAGATATGTAAATGATTTCCCCCCCGAAATACCCCGACCTTTATTCTGCTGCACAAGGCGGTGCTAACTGACCTTAGAATAGTTTACAAATGGATAAACATAAAATATCATACATTTTAGTGATGATGATTTCAAATACGGCTACATCAAATTAAAGAAAATACAAATCTTCACGTTTATGAGGCTCATGTGCAATCTGCACAAGTGAATTCAACAGCAGCCTACTAACAATACTGCCAACAAGAGCCTTACAAATGGAGTGTTTCAAATGTTTTATGCACAATGGCATACTGCACCTCACCAATTACACATCACCAGAACTCTGAATTCATAGAGTGTGTGCTATCCTATGCCTATGACTGTGTTTTGTACCTGTGTTAGTCCTATTTGCTTGGCAAAATTGTTCATCACTCTGAAACCCGTAAATGTTCTCTTAGTGCAGAGCGCCACTTAGTGGTAGAAGTGTGAAATGTATGCATTAAACAGACCTTTTATTGTAATACAATAAAAGGTCTGTTTGGACTCAGTCTAAAGCACTGCGCATTTGGGTGTGATAAGATATTGAGAGAGACTCTTTTATTTGGCAGTAGGCCTTTATAGGCACGGTAACAACGATTTCACAAATAGATAGGCCCATGACAGTAATATGGTAGGGAGCTAAATATGACCCAAAATGGCAGGCTAATAATTTAGTCGTACTTGTTTTGGGGAGGGGGGAACTTGTTTAGCCTTAAGGCAGGAGGCACAGAAGCACTTTCACAGGCAGCTGCGCTGACCCGTGCACTGGCTGCGGACTGTGATGTCATCAGATGGATGGGTGGCGGGCGGCAGAGATGCGCTCGTTTGCAGCCCACTGCCTCAGCTCATCACAGTGAGAGGCTCCTGACAGCTGCAGGTTAGACAGAGGCAGCCGATACAGCGCGTGGAGGGAACCAAACCTCATCAGACAAAAGACTATATCGCACGCACCATTTTACGCCATGTCTCTGTTGTAACGCACAGTAGGGTATAGTACAGTTACAGCCTGTAGCCAAACCCCAGCGCTTAGGGAAGCGTGTAGCCTAGGCCTATACTGTGACTGGACATGAATTCGGCAGAGCAGACGGTGACATGGCTGATAACGCTTGGTGTACTGGAGTCGCCGAAGAAGACCATTTCGGACCCCGAGGGCTTCCTGCAGAGCTCACTGAAGGATGGGGTAGTCTTATGCAGGCTGCTGGAGCGCCTCAGCCCGGGCTCCACGGATAAAGTAAGACACATATTTCACTGGGCTAGCCTATACACCTCCGCTTTCATATACACAAGCCCGCCCTGGCGGCGTGTGCGCTCTCCGCATCTATAAACTGACACGGCTTGTTGTCTGACTGCTGTCCACTGGTCCATGAGGCGATTTCATTTGTAGGTCACAGCAGCCTGTGTTATTGTCTACATCAGGTCCATAAGTCCTACACTGGCTATGTAGAATAGGAATAGAGAGGCCCCTATTTCTGCTGCGTATTGATCCTTTTGCAAAACACCGAAAACGCGGCAAGCAATCATCTACTGGAATTTGGGTTTTTATTATTATAGGCCACATTTAAACGTCAGAGGGTCTAATGCTTTCATAATCCAAGGACTTGTCATGTCGTTAGCCTACATGCCAGTGTATTTTAATAGCCACACACAGATCATCTAGGAATGGATGCATTCACCGCACTGAGCAAAAGAGCGTCACTCAATTGACTGCAAAGGCGCACGGATTGTGACGGAATTAAAGAAATAACACAGTGGAAATAGTGTTAGCAGTTTATTGATAATGATATGTTGCATTTTTATCAGACCTATAGCCTATTCTGTCATAAACATTGACTATATATCTAAGTCTATTGCAGCTGAATGTGACAACCCCTCAACCTTTCAACAGCACTCAAGATGTAATGACAAGAGCAAATAGAGATGATGCTCTTTGTTAGGCTGTATATTTTAAAATTTAGTTGTGTCATAGACAGCAAAAAAAAGTGAAAAAGTGCATCCCCTACATTCAATATGCAGATAAAAGTGTATGCCAAGTATACTGTGTAACAACAACAGGGTTGTTGGTCTCCCCAGTGTAATGCTCATTGTAGCATGTGCACTACAGTGAGCAGCCATCTGCACTATTTTTGCAACCAACAACAGGGAATGAGAAACCTTTAACCATTATGTTTTATTAGTATGGTAATCCTGTTTTAACTCAAATAAATTTGACATACTTATAAATGACGGTTACGCTCTTTACACTCTCAAGATCGCTTTATTGTCTTGCATGCATTTTTCCCCTAATGGAATGAAATGAATGAGTTTGTTAAACCGAGTAAATTAGTGATTTTTGATGATTAGGTCCCGGAAGGGATGACACACATTCTGAGGCAGATGTGTTATGAGACTATGAGCCCCCTCCCGTCACCCCAGAGCCTAGACACGGGTGGTGTCTAGATTTGTGGCATCTCAATTTAAAGTGCCTGTAGAGCTGTGAATGGGAGATGCAGATGAATGAAAAATGGGAGGCAGGTAAGAGTGTGATCCAAGCTATTGGTGATGAGAGCGCGGCAACTGAGGCAGGAACGAGGCTGATGTGATGAGGCTGGTGACAGGGTGAATGAACAGTCTTCAGTTTGTACATTTGTGACAGCTGATGATATTACTCCTAACTTTTGCCATTCTACTTTGTGCCATGCCCATTGACGGATTTTGATATTGATTGCCCTCTCTGTTGCCAGGTCAGTCTCTTGCAGGTACCCCTAAAGGACATAGTAGCCCAATGGCTCATTGCAGAAGGAATGTGAGGAAGAATATTTCCAATCATGACCAATCTCTCATACATACACCACTTTCTGGTCAGTTAAGTGTCCTGCCCAAGGACACAACAACAGAACACACCACTGCTCTAACCACCAGCCACTGTTGCTTAGTGGTCATATGACAGAGTGAGCTATTTGAGCTATTTTCAATAACTGATTTATGTTAATACCCTACATCTGCTGATGCCATCCAATGCCAGTTTTTGGTAGGTGGCATCAGATTGGCACTTATAGGCTATTCCTTCAAAATACTCTGCACAAATACTATGCACAAGTCACCATCAGATGTTATATTTGGCTTTGTCTAAAAGGATTCAGATGTCATTTTCTAGTGTTTTCATGTAGACTATTTTAAGGGCATATGATACTATTTTCTGATCTGATATTTCCTGATCAAAAACATCCCAGGAGTTGAGCTTTGTTTCATCCACACATGCTTAACACATAAACCCTTCAGTTCGCTGAGTTCTTCTCTCAAACAGAAAACACTCTGTTCCACCTTGTGTTGTCCTGTGGTAATATATGAAGTGCTCCATGATGTTTTTAAACTTCATACACCTTCAGTCATTTGGATGATTTCAGACTTGGACTCTACTGAACAAAAGGTAAAAGGTAGCTATTAACATGATAACTCCCACAACATGACATCAGAAGGTGGAACAGAGCATTATGACCTTTGGAGATGTAGACAGATTAATAATAAAGAGTTACTCAACCATGACTGAATGAATTAAAAGCAAAATTCCAGGTATGTTTTTGATGTGGTACCAACATTCCAACATGACTAAAAGTTCACAAGGACATTTTTTTTTTTTAGTTTATAGGACCTTTATTTATATTTAGGTTGTTTCACTTCCCCAGTGGCATCTGCATCATTACATTTCAGGGAGACTTACACTTACACTTAGGCCTCAGCATCATTTAGATACCAAGATCTCCCATAAAAACAGTTTGAATTCAACCATGTTTACTCAAAATTTACTCTTGTAAACTTCAAGCTATGTTTGAATGTTGTTACCTCCTCAGATACCTGGAGTTGTTTTTATTCATTTATTTTTTCATTCACACATGTTTGAGTAGCCTAATAGGCTCTAAACACGCTTACGTCACAAAACCAGCAGACATTTGGAAACATGCAGATGACGACTTCCTTTTGGGCTCTGCTAGTAACTCTGATAAAAGAAAATGGCCTGGTTTTCTTCATCCAGATGTCATTGTATTCTTGTATTCCATTAATTGTGTATTAATTTGTGTATTATAATTTGTATAATCTAAAAAAAATGTCATTAATTACACTGGAAGTCATCATCTGCATGTTTCCAAACTCTTCTGTTAAACGTGATTAGAGTCTGTTGGTCTGTCTACATTTCCAAAGCTCAAAATGCTCTGTACTATCTTATGATGTCATGAAGTAAGGCTGTGCAATTAATTTAATTTTGATCACAATTTCGATTTGTGTATCAAATGATCTCCAAACTCATATCACTGAGTTGAAACAATTCATGAAGCTTAACCAAGTTTATTTTGGGACATTTTTATATAAATAAGTAGAAATTGTAGAACAGCTGGATATATAGGTTATTTTGGATACATTTATCTTTTTCTATGTCTTATTACATGTTGAAAGTATATTTTATTAATTTTATGTTTTATACATCACAAAACTGCATATAAAAGGTGCATATTTGTAGCCTATATTTATTTTCAAGTTTTCTTTTTTTTTCTCAAGAAAGTTTTGCATAAATTATCAATTACAAAGTGTTTTTAAAGAGAGAAATGCTGAATAAAATAATCATTTGAATAATTGTGATTTCAGTATTGACCAGAAATAACGTGATAATGGTTTTATCCATAATTGAGCAGCCCTATTATGAAGGGTTTTCAGGGTAACAGCTATCTTTTACCTTTTGTTTACTAACGATTGGAAAATCTATGGCTGAAATAATCCAAATGGTGTCCAAAGGTGTATGAAAACACAGTGGAGAACTTAGCCTACCGCATGACATCACAAGGTGGAACAGAGTGTTTTCCGTTTGAGAGAAGAACTCAGCTTAAATGTGCAGGATTTGTATGTTAAACATGTGTGAATGAAACAAAACACAACAACACAACACGAGGAAACAACATTAAAACATTGAAATAACTTGACTATAGGCTATTTGTTTATTTGTACCGTTGTTTAGACACAGACCAGTTAAAAATCTGAGCGCGCGTAGGATGTAGAAGTTGTGGGGATCCCTTTAGACAACGTCACTTCCGCCGTCCTAAGACAGCCTCCTGCACTTCCTCGCTGCACGATTTGTGTTGAGCCCGAGGTTGCGCCAGGCCCAGTGAAAATGCATACTGAGCAACGAGCTTCTTTCTCCGGGCGGATGAGTGAGATGCGAGCCGCTGTGTAGCTCTTAAACCCCCGCCACTGTTTGCAGACTCGTCCTGGAGGTGTTTCTTACCTGCGTTTTTGTTTGTGGTCGGTTTTGCAGATATACCACGAACCGAAGAACGACGGGGAGTGCTTGAGTAACATAAAGGAGTTTCTCAAGGGCTGCTTATCATTTCGCATCGAGGTAAGGTTTTCCATTTCTGCTTGTTTTATTTGAAATGGCCAGGGGAGTCAACCAAGGAGGCCTAAGATTGAAGAATCTTAAAGAAGTAGTTGTGCAAAATGGGTTAAATATAATCTAAGTTGACAGATAGCCCAGTGGTGGAAGAGGAGTGAACGACAAGCCGAGAACAATCCCCCATCTCCTCCCCGGACAGCTCGTTGTTTTGTCCTGCTGCGAGTGGGTTTTTTATCTTTTATCTGGCAACACGTAACAACATTAGGCGATATAGCCCATTTCGGATTAAATTGTTAATAACGCGCTGATGTTTAGGCCTATCTTTAACCATTCACCATAATTGTTTATTTCTGCTTCCTCATTAGCCTATACAGATAATTACCCTTGCACAGTATTCGCCCCATATTGGTCTAATGTAACCACAAAGTTGTGCAAAGTGTAGCCTACACATAGTTTCGGGAAATTGAGCAAACAGCTTGCTATTTAAGGAGATGTCTTTGCATAGTGGCCCAGTTCAGCCATCATCATGGTCCAACAATACAGCAGTGTTTTCTGTTTTTTGTTTCCATGGTTGGGTCTCTAAGTGAATGCACTTATCACTATGCATTTCTGTATCTTCTGAAAAAAAAAAGAAGGACAAAATAAACCATCATCTGGCCATAAACTGTTTTGGCTCAAACACAACACTGACTTCTAGTTCACTAGACTTTTGAACTAGAGATTACACAGTATTAAATAGCAGCCTTCCTCTTTCTGACTGTCTGTGCTGCTGGTTATAGGAAGATGTGTTCACAAATCTGTTTCTCTTTTTGCAACTGCAGCCGGTTAGAAATATCACAATAAACATGAACACTTTCGTTTTGCATTTCCACTAATAAGGGCTTATAGATCTGTTGAACAGTCTATGAAAATGCAAATTAGAAACATAAAGTTTTAAGGCAATACAGTGTGGCACTTGTGTTGTAGCCCAATAGGAAAAGTAACAGTGGAAAAGTCTCTTGAGTCCTTGTATAGCACCAAATCTTGAGTATTCTAATCACAAGAAGACAGGACCAGTGCATTCACCAGCACAGATACAATCACTGCCATTCATACTAATGAAGAATCCAGTGATGGTCACATTCAGACAACACACTGCTTTGGGAATAAAACTGGCACTATTCTGATGGTCACAAGCTTCCACCACACACCAATTAGGAGTGGTTTTCAAACTACATAAAAATATTGTGGTGAGTTACAATAGTGTTTAATTGGTGTGAGAGAACATCATTTTCTGCTGTATTTGCTGCTGTCAGTTGAGGATTTTTGTGAAAATAAGTAACTTTAGACATAGTTTTTCCAATAGTAGTGTGTATTACATAATGGCTGCTATTAGTAAACACATGATTTTACCACAGGCCTGTTGGGACATCCTGATTATACCTCAAGGTGAACAGTTATTACCTTTACTGTGTGTGTAATGTGTTTTTTCTTCTTCCCATGTAGACATTTGAGGCCAGTGACCTGCTCCTGGGACTAAACTTTTCCAAAGTTCTGAGCACTTTAGTGGCCTTGAATAAAGTAACAGCAGGTTAGTACAACACTTAACATTAGAGGTTGACCAATATGTGTTTTTGTATTCCCGAGGCGCATACAAATTGTTTAGGATTCTAACAAACAAATGACCAATAGCTCTGCAGAATTTTTTGGGCTGGCATGTAGGGCAGATTTTGATTATTTTCCTCAAATTCTGTTATGTAAATTTACTACACACTCACCCACAGTTCCTAAAGGAGAGCAGTGTGACATGTTTTCAGCAATTATCTCTACACTCTTAAGTGTTAATATAAAGCTTTGTGTGTATTTTTTTTGGTAGCAGATGGACCAAAACAAAATATCAACCTGTGCTGCTTGATATATCAGTTGATCTCTGCTTAATATGACACTTTGTCCCTGTTTCATTTCACAATACTACATTGTATCATTGTAAGTAAAAATATGGATTACAATTGGTGGGAATAGATTTACAATAGACAACAGACAATGATAAGATAGAGTGAGAGGAGCGAGATATATTGAAAAATGTATTATTTGGTTTCTTGTTTATCTATACACACTGTTTAAAATAGTAATTGTTGATTAAGAACTAAAATTTGATTATTGGACTATTGGATATTAGTGCTTATCCAGTTTGATAATAAGACTATTTGCCTCCTTCAAATCAGTTTAATCATATGTTATTTTTGTTTAAAGGAAATTAAAGCTATTTTTAGTGCCTGCTCTGCTACTGGTTAAAGCCATCTTAAATGCTTTTTTATATTGACGCTCTTAGTTTTTTACTCCTATTATAGATTATATGCTTGACATTTTGGGATATTATTTAAATCTAAACTATGTCCCTACTTCAGCACTTTCTTTCATCTCTTCTTTCAATCTCAGCTCCAATAAGAGTGGCTTTTACCCTCTGCCAAACTTAAGCAGAGTAAAACCTGTTTTCTTAAAGAGGAAGCCTAGTTGTCACGATCAGAGTAGTAGATCTGTGCTTAAGACTCTTTGTGGAATAGGGCCATTGCGTTGTGTTAGGATGATATTTGTGTTGTTTGGGGTTTAAAATGTGTGCATTATTGGACATACTAGTCAGAATTTCTGCATCTCTGCCCTCTGCACAGATATTGGAGTTGGCAGTGACTCGGTCTGCGCTCGTTACTCCTCAGCTCACCGCATTAAATCATTTGAGTCGCTTTCCTCTCAAGCTTCACTGGGCCGGTCCTCTAAGCTCATTCAAAACCAGTTTCGTAGTCTGGTAAGTCCAGTTCTTATATTCCAGTAAAAATCTTCACAAGCGTAAATGACATTTGATTAGGCCTGTCACAATAATAAATGTTGAAGTGCGATCTATTGCTGAAGTCAAAAAGCACAATTATCCCTTTAAATGTACAATATTATTACATTTTGTCGAGCTAAAATAAATAAATAAAACAGCAGATTGCAACACTTAAGATTTGAGCTGATGAAAATTTAATTATGAACTCAAATTATAAACCAATATCTTAAGAAATTACAAGGAAAAAAAAAAGGTACACACGATAAATATTGAGTCCATAAGTTAATTCCATAAGACAAGTCCAATTATCGTGACAGGTCTGCATTTGATACATGGACATACTGCATTGTGTACTGTCAGCGTGTGCCACTGTTCTGACACCTGTACAACAGATTTTACACCTACACTTAAGCGCACTGTGTAAGCAAGTGTTGTGTGTTAGCCTTTTGCAGTGACTCTCTAAGTGTTAACACGAAACAAGTCACAATTTCACTTTATTTTAAATAGAATACAGCTATACAAAATATTTGCTTTGTTTTTTTTTTTTTTGCTGTGTCCATTATCTGTTGTAAGCTTTTACTCCCTAATTCCCCTGACCCTTTCCTGACAAACATCCTAAAACACACAATCTGTTCTAATCACACAATAAATATTTTGTATCAAAGTGACAATGGTCTGGCATAGAACAGCATGCTGTGAATCAATCTTAAGAAGTTGTTTGGTGCATTAAACCCCACCAAAAGATGAAGATGATTTGAGCAAGCACAAAGAATGATAAGTGGATAATTTTCTGCTCAGTGTGTTTCTTCTGCAAATTGTACAAAAGATGACTTTTCTGTAGTTTAACCTTGCTGTCACTGCATCACTCTAACTGAGTTTGTATTTTTATCAGGACATGTCAGAAAACAGTGGACAACAACTGCTGGTCAAGGCACGGTTTAACTTCCAGCAAACAAATGAGGATGAGCTCACCTTTAATAAGGGTGACATCATCAATGTGACTCGCCAGGAGGAGGGTGGCTGGTGGGAGGGGACCCTGAATGGAAAGACTGGCTGGTTTCCCAGCAACTATGTACGGGAGGTCAAAGGCTCTGGTGTGTACAACCTACTAATATGATCTTATTTAAAATATTTTTTTTTATTGTGGGACCACATTATTTATTATCACTCTGGCTTCAGACAAACAAGTGTCCCCCAAGTCGGGCACACTCAAGAGCCCACCCAAAGGCTTTGACACTTCAACTATCAGCAAAACATACTACAACCTGGTAATTATGGACCTTTTATCCTTTTGTACACTCTATACATGTTGTGCTCTGAATGGCAGTTCATTCTGAAGCTACTGCCCCAGACTGTACTACATAGAATTTATTTTGTCTTCAGACAAGAGTCTGGATGACACAAGCCAAAACCATATGGACTGTATATATAAATGGACGTAGCTAAACCCACTAGCCGCCACGTACCAAACAGAAATTGTTCATGAGGGTGCTTCCAGCTCCATCACCTCTGTTTCCAATTGAGTTTACATTTTAAAATTGTCACCCCTCTCTGTAACTGCTGCAATGAGCCTTGTTATTTTGGCCTTAAAATGTTCGTATTAACCACTCTACATGATCAAGGGTTTTTTATTTTGCTATTTAGTCCTGAAATAAATTCCTGTTCCTAATATGGACCTCGACTCCAAATTCTCCCTATAACTGCTGCCTTGAGAGCTTAATTTGACTGCAGCTGAACGCTATGGGTGATGTTACACTCCCATAGTTCACTTCTTGAGTACAGTACATGGATGGAATGCATAAAAAAGATGAAGACTAATTCATTGTATCCTCTGAGTAGATATGTTGGATAAAGGAAAATATGCAAACAACATCCATGTGTTTTAGGTTAAAGTGAAGGTGAACTCTGTGTCTAACAGTTACATTCAACAATACAGGGGCTCAATTTCATACAGCTTTTCAGACAGGTCGCATTAGCAATGACATCAAAATACTAATAACTGCTGTGGCATGCTCTTCATTTTAATAATAAACTTTCTTATTTTTGTAGGTGTTGCAAAACATTTTAGAAACAGAAACTGAATATTCCAAGGAACTTCAGACTCTCCTCACAAACTACTTGCGACCACTGCAAAGCACGGACAAGTAAGAAAGAAATCTGTCAACAAAATATGATTTTCCTTGTTAATGTGTGATTGCGTGATTTTAAGCTGATAATTTTCATTCATCAGGTTGAGCTGCTCAGATGTGGCTTTAATTCTTGGTAACCTTGAGGAGATTTGCACATTCCAGCAGATGCTTGTGCAGTCACTGGAGGAGAGTACAAAGTCAGTACCTGCCAAACACTCACACCCCAAATCATCCCCTGACATCATAATAGTCTATAACACCCATAGTTAAAAACTGTAGTACAGGTCAGAATTATTATATGGAAGAATTTGTCTAAGGGACAAGAAAGGAAAAGAAATAATATATATAAAATTTGTGAACTTAATGAAACAAATAACGCGTGGATATTTCCTGAGGATATTTTCTTCAAGAAACAATAAGGACTTGAAACTTCTGATAAGAAAAGATGATGGGATAGAGACTATTTGCACTTGCAAAAAAATGTTATAAGTTATGTAAGAAAATTATCTCAAGTGGTCATTGCACTACTGGTTCTGTTTTGTACATGAGAACAAGGACATTTAACACTGCTGCCATATAGTCTGAATGAACTGAGCACAATTTACACATCAACAAGTAGGTGCATTACATTTTAATGTTAAATTTATCTTATACTTTAGACTTCCTGAAAGCCAACAGAGGGTTGGTGCCTTTTTCCTAAACCTCATGCCACAGATGAAAGCGCTTTATGTGGCCTACTGCTCCAACCACCCCTCAGCTGTCAATGTACTCACCCAACACAGGTATGTCCTATTCATTCAATCACTGAACTGCAGCAGTTGTAGTTAATCTGCTGTAATGGGATGCTTTAAAGATTTAGTGTTGTGGCTCTCATATTTTTTTAGTACTGACCTGACAGTACTTTAGTGATCTATTGAAGAATTGTTTTCTGCTTTTTGCCAGTGAATATTTGGGTGAATTTATGGAGGGTCATGGAGCGGTGAACCCTGGCACACTCACACTCACCACTGGCCTCAGCAAACCTTTTATGAGATTGGACAAATATCCTACTTTACTCAAAGAGCTGGAAAGGCACATGGAGGTTTGTTTTTGGAAATATACATTTTATTAGTAAAAAATGTAAGCTGTATTTTCTAAAATCATTATTGTTTTTAGGAAGGGCATCCTGACAGGACGGACATACAAAAGGCCATGGTGGCTTTCAAAAATCTATCTGTAAGTTCGATCTCTTTTTACAAAGACATAATTGTTTTACTAATTAAGACATAATTAAAGGGCCCATATTACACTATTTTCTGATGTACGATATAATGTTTCATCTAGGGGTGTCAAATTATCGCGTTAATTGCGATTAATTAATTACAGTCATATTTAGCGCGTTATGTTTTTTAATCGCGTTAATCTCATTTTTTATCTAACTTTACTGTTTCTGTATGTGAGTTGCTTTATTATAAAATCTGTTTTTATGTGTTGTTGGGACAACAACACATAAAAACACATTTATACATTTTTTTAAATTTCGGTAATTCCACTCATTGCCGGAAACCCACACAAAACGCGCGCAGTAAGAGCGCCGTAAACGTCATGTTAAAGTTGGTGGCGTCAGTCACACAGTGGACGAGGTGGAAGAGCCAGTAGAACAGAGTCAGCAGTGCACAGGTAAAAACACATTCGTGTCTTGTAAATTATTCTCCCGATGTGAAATATAATATCGCCTACAACTTAAATGTCACTGGTGAAAACAACCTGCATAGACTCATGATGTCTGCACTACTGTCCTATAGTGACCTGCCACATGAGGGGACACGCACACAAACACAAACACAAACACACACCTTCATCATCGTCATTAACCTGAGAACGCGCGGACCACGTTTCCTTCCGTAGACACTGCACGGACACCGACGTGCTACCGTGAGCCGCGTGTGGATAGTGTTACGCGTACGCTGCGTAAACCGCGCTTCCTCCTGTGCGCCTCTAAACCAGAACTAACACCAAGACTAAAACCGGGACTAACCCAGTCCAGGACGAAACCAGGACTAAACCAGGACTAAACCAGAACTAAAACCAGGTCTAAACCAGGTCTAAATCAGGACTAAACCAGAACTAAAACCAGAACTAAAATCTAAACCAGGACTAAACCAGGACTAAACCAGGACTAAACCAGGACTAAACCAGGACTAAACCAGGACTAAACCAGGACTAAACAAGGACTAAACAAGGACTAAACCAGGATTAATCCATTCCAGGACTAAACTAGGACTAAAGTAGGACTAAAGCAGGTCTAAACCAGGACTAAAACAAGGACTAAAACCAGTGATCTCATATATAAAGCATTTCTCTATCAATAATATTTTTAATATGGTTAAGGAAAGACTGGACTTTTTATTGTCTTTAAGTAGACAAAAGTTATTATGTTCAGATTTCCTCATCTTTGCTACTTTACAACAAACAGTTTCTTATTCATGGAGACTTGGGCTCAACAGCCAATTTGGAGAGATTTGTTAAACAATAAATGACTTTATAAAGTCACTTTTTTTTGTTCTATATGAGTCTTTTGATCTGCCACAATAATGTAATAATGAATTTAAATGAAAATACCTCAAATTGAAGGCTTTTCTCAGCAATTTTTAGGTGAGATTAAAATTAGATAAATTAATTACAGATCATAATTAATTAATCTCTCAATTTTTTTAATCGCATGACAGCACTAGTTTCATCATCAAAAACATACATGCAGTTGTGTTTTGATTCATTTGCATGTCTTTAACGCATAGTTCTTCCAAACTAAAAATTTTCCACTTTGTCATGTCATGTGGTTATACAAGAAGTGCTTTGCTGTTTTTAAACTCCATATACATCAATAGAATTTGGAAACTGATAATCTCTACAGAAGTAAAGGTACAAAAGCTGTTAACTTGAAAACTTCTGCTTCATGACATCACAAGGTAGAACAGAGCATTTTGAGCTTTGGAGCTGTAGACAGGCTAATAATAAAGGGATGCTCAAACAGGTGAGAATTAAATGAAACACAACTCCAGGTATGTTTTTGATAATGGGAAAAAAACATGGCTTAAACCTGACAAGAGTCAATATTGTGTCATATAGCACCTTTTAAAGATTTCATAATGGTAGTTTTGTTGTTGCAGAGCCATTGTCAGGAGGTGAGGAAGAGAAAAGAACTGGAGTTGCAGATCCTGACAGAGACCATCCGACTGTGGGAGGGAGATGACATCAAGACTCTGGGCTCCGTGCTCTACATGAGTCAAGTCCTGGTTCAGGCAGGATCTGAGGTAATGCGACCATCTCTTACTGCAATTAAGCCTGGACGTAGTTTTTATTCCAGTAATTATAAGAATGTTTATTTGCATCTCCACACCCTATTCAAGTCATTTTTCATCACTTGGCGTCAAATGAAATTGCAATATTTCTGTTAATCACTTTTTTCTTTGTGTATGTGTGTGTGTGTTTGTTTTTTGTTTTTTTTTCATCTGAGCGGGTCTTTTCTCAGACTGATCTCTTGATTGTGGCATCTCAAGCATCAAAAAGCACTTCCAAGTTGATTTTTACAAAAGCCGCTACTTCAAGAGTGTATTGTGTGATAATGATGATAACATGTTATGAATCAGCCCTTGTCTGACTGGAGAGCACCTCTCTTTAAAAAACTCCTTAAAGCCACATCTTCTGCTGACATTTCCTCCATTATGATTATGAAATAATACCTCACTCACCCAGTTAACACTGTAATTATACACTTCAAGCTGCTGCATTAAAACTGTTCATTCAAAATCAGATTCACCAAGGCAGTTTTACATTAGACAGAGTCATTTCAGCAACTTGAGCTTGTCTTGTCAAACTTCAACCACTGTTTAGTTAATGGTAATACAGGAGCACTATCAGAGGCTGTCTCACCTGTATTATTTGTGCTGGAAATGTCCAGTTTTCATTTATCACAAAATATCCTATATATATATATTTTTTTTTTTTTTTTTTTTATCAGGAGAAGAGTGAACGGTACCTCATGCTTTTCCCCCATGTGCTTCTCCTGTTGTCGGCCAGCCCCAGGATGAGTGGGTTCATATTTCAGGTCAGAAATGCTTATTTTGTTATCATGTGACTATTGAAAATGTGCTATCGCTCAGTACTGACTATAACTTAAATGCTTTCTCCAGGGGAAATTGCCTCTTGCAGGCATGATCGTAAGTAAATTGGAAGACTGTGAAGCCTATAAAAATGCATTTGAGCTCAATGGTAAGCATAATTTATTCACTATGTTGCTCTTGTTTGTTTCCTTCTAAAAATTCATTGTATTCTACAGGTACACTGTTTGACCGTCTACTAGTGGTGTGCTTGAACCAGCAGGATCTTCAAGACTGGATCGAGCACCTCACTAGACAAATCAAACACAATGCAGCTACAGCGCCCAGTCACAAACCACTCACAGTGCCCTGTCATACGGTGAGATTATTTATATTATTAATGACTATTCAATTTAGGTTTACATGTTAACAGTATCTACAATAATGCTACTATACTTTTACTGTCCTCTTCCATCACTGGTTTTGCAGCTGATAAAATTCTGGGACAGAACTATCTTTTTCTGTGGTCTTTTTTTCCCCTGTAATATAAAATGACCTGTTCTAATCACAGTATTTGGGGTATTCTCAAAATCCAGTGGCTCTCTATAATCACCCCTCTACAGTACATCTGCACAGGGTCTTCCAAATCTTCAGGGATGAAATACAGAACCCTAACTAAATAATAAAAAATATTTTTATATATTTTTTGTTCATCCTTAGCTCCCATCTCACCCTCTCACTCCATCTCGGCATGCTGAGGGGAGGGCCATGACAGTGGCTCCCACCTACCACACGCTTCCGCACCCCTCGTCTCATGGGTCAACCCACAGCACTATGATGTGGGGTCCACTCGAGCCCCCCAACACTCCAAAACCCTGGAGCCTGAGCTGCCTGAGGCCTGCCCCACCGCTACGGCCCTCCGCAGCTCTCTGTTACAAAGAGGTGAGCTGAATGATTTGGGGAAACTATCTAATGGCTATTTTTCTAACAAGCATAACAAGCATAGTACAACTCGAGGTGCATTAACAATACATCTGGTCTAATCCAACGTAATTGCAATGTGCGCAAGGCCAAACTGCTTTTATTATGATTTCTATTATATTCTTTTAATTGTCGAGCAACAAAATATCCAAATTAATTGTTGCCTTTACTATTTGCTAATTTCTTTGAAATTAAGATTTTGATTCAACAGTGATTTCTCTGGATGTCCTAGTGCTAATGTTCGAATTAAATGTTTATCTGAGCAGGATTTAAGTAAAAGCCCCAAGAGTGTGAAGAAGCTCCTTCCAAAACGTAAACCTGAGAGGAAACAGTCTGAAGAGGAGTTTTCTTTGAGGAAAAGTGAGGGACATTTTACATTTGCGTTAATGTTCTACAGCTTTGATATTTGTCATAGACTTATATTATTCTCATGTTATGCAGGCACTGCTGCTTTGGAAGAAGATGCCCAGATCTTGAAAGTTATTGAGGCATACTGCACCAGTGCTAAAACAAGACAGACTCTCAATTCCAGTAAGACTTTTACACAATCTTAGAAATAACTTTTCTTGTCTAGTCTTTTAACACTGGTATCTTGGATTGATCTTCTCTAACCTCTTTCTTCTTCTGTCTCCTTCACCCCTCGCTCATTTACATTGGGTTGTGGTGTCATTTTTGTTTTGTTATTATTTGTGTTTCGCCTTGTTTCCATGGTACTGTGATGTTCCCATTTGTTCTTTGTGTTCGGTCTGTTGCTTTCTCCTTTTGCATCTACATCTCTCTCCTTTTCCCACTTCTTCTTCTTCTTCCATCTGCCCTACATTGACTCCATGATGCTGCCCAAGCAGCCTGGCAGGGTACTGACCTGATGCACAACCACGTGTTGGCAGACGTGGACCGGTCCTGTGTGGACTCTCCGGGCCGCCGTAGCAGCGTGTCACGGCCAGAGCTGTCCTCTGACCTTTCTGAGGACTCGGACTATGACTCCATCTGGACCACTCACAGTTACAGGATGGGATCAGTGCCCCGCAAAAGCTGCATCTCTCACCAGAACTAAAGATCGTATAGATTGCTGTAGCATAATATGCAGCAACCTCACCTCTTATGTAATGTATTGAAAGATTTTTTTAATTTGTATATTTATTTTCTATTTGATCTGTTACTTTCTGTTAATTTATTACTTTTATTTATTTTACAAATCTCTTTAAGATGAGCATCTCCCTGTTGCCTTCTCCACTTTCCCTTTTATGTGCCTCCTCTTTCTGTAGTCATGCAGTAAGTGTTTAGTTTTTCTTCATGTTTTTTTCTTGAATGTGACGACTCCCCTTAATCATACATGTGTTGTCTCATTGCATTGAGAGAACATGGATGTTGGAGTGAAATAGAGGGGAGAGAAAGTAAAGTTTTTCCTATCTGATATTCAGATGAACTTCAGGAATTAGTCAATTTTACTCAGCATGTGCTGTACTGTACATGGCATATATATGAAGTGTCATATGTGTACCAATGTACTGGTCACAGCTGCTCTACCAGAATGAGCAAAGAACCACGGTGCAAATTACACAGATTTAGTACAGACCTTTTCTAAAAGATACACATTACTTATATTTACTTATAGTGCATAACACAACCAAACCATTCCTAGAAACCCAAATGCAATGCTTTTGATTTGTTCATTTTGGGAGATACTACCTACACACTTACATTATTTATTGTATTTATTTATTTTTCATTTTAAATGGCTTTTCTAAACACACTCTAACAATGCTCCAATGCACTGGATAATCCTAAGAGCACAACATCAGCATATTTTATTCAAACAACCTATTACTGAGAAAATTGTGTCCATGAGAAATGTTGACATTATGCTCCTGTAGCCATGTCTGGAGGGTAGTTTTAAGTTAAATTTAGTCTTATGTTGTAGTTTTTTTAGATTAAATGTGATTATTTATGGATGATTGGTAAATTTCCTTGCAAGTAAATAAGGCTTTATTTAATTTATTTGTTTGTTATAACTTATTAATTACAGTCTGAAATGGTAATTGTATTGTTGGACACCACACTAGTCCTATTAGAATGGTTATGTAATACCCAAATACCTTTTGTTTATTTTTGATCTTATAGTACTCAATCATCTCATCTCATTCAGTCCCTCATTCAAGTTAACCTAGTTCAACCCTAAATTAAGTACAATAGGAACACCTCTGTTATCACTGTACCTATGGCATGCCATCATTTTCCGACTTCTAATAATGTAATAATTTCTTGCATCAATTACTATTTTTATGAAGAGCTATTTTTACAGCAATGGTACAGAAAGCACATGTTGGGATTCACAAATATAACACTACTGTAAGCAATGCCCTTGTTACAAATCGACATTTAGAGTAAAATAGTTTCTAGATAATTATTATTTAATTTTTTTAAATCTTACTTCATTTGAATTGTTTTTGTCACTGTTTACAAATGGATTTCTGGAACATTAGCTCATTTTTACACGTTGAAAGGTTTACACTGAAAACAATTCAAGTGTTTTGGATTATTTTGCACAATCATGTAACGGGCCAGTGGGTGGGATGGGTAGAACCTGTTGTACAGTATTTTCTGTCGTCTGCCTATAGAGTGTGAATGATATAGTCCTAAAGGTAGTATTTAGTGTTACTGTAAAGTTTAAACTCATTTGTAGAGTATATTCTCTCCTTGAGTGTTTTAGCACTGAGGAGTTAAAGAAACATAAGTGTACGATGATACAGATTTCTATGTAAACTGCTCATTCAACCTCAGAATACGGTCGGTGGACTTGAAATATAAAGAGCACATTGTGTCCCTCTGTAAATAATAGTTGTCTTGAAACAAAGTCTGTTCCTATATTAGTATCTGAACTAAGAATAATACGATCCTTATGCTATGTGCTATATTTTGTGCCAGGTGTATTCAGTGGTAAAAAAAAAAGAAGTCAAATTTGGGACAGGGCAGGTGAAAAGACGAGAGTTGTCATTTTGTGTGCTCTGTATTAAATTGACACGCGTGACTGTCTTCTGCTAACAGCTCCTTCAGTGTACTGTTCAACACAGCTGAAGTGTTCAAGTCCCTATGTATTATGAGTTTTGAATAAATCTGTCATTTGGTAAGTGGCGGCATTGTGATGGTCTTATCTTGATACAGATGACTTTATATTGTACATGAATTATTTTATATCATTGCTTTCTTTTCTTTCCTCTGCCTTCTGTTCTGTTGAATCTTTGCATGACTAACACCTTTTGCTACTTGAGTTCAGTTCAGGCTGATGTGGTTCACGCACCTCTAACTGTGAGCTTTTGTATGGATCGATGAGTACTCTTCTGTTTTGGAACAGGACATCAGAAGAATCCAGGGCTACACATGATCATCCCCGCTGAGGACAAGGTGCTAATAGAAGGTCCCAGTCGCAATGGACAAAGTCGACTGGAGGAGAAGTAAGATGCAGACAATTCTAAAACCACCAGTCAATTAAATGATTTTGTAATATTTTTAAATGTCACTCTTGCCTTTTAAAGGAGTTTGGTAGATATCGTCTATGCCTTAAGGGATGAAGTTCAAGAACTGAAACAGGTAACTACCCAGTCATGACCAAGTTCATGGTTAATAGAGTTGTTGTCAAGAATCATCCCATCTAACTGGACCAGCAGCACAGGGAATGAAAACTTAAACTGTTTTCATAGCTTTGGTGTTGCTTTGTCCAAATGGTGTATAATAAAAAATGGTCTATAGTTTTAATCCATCAATAACCTAGTATTCTCCTTTATTACCTACAGGATACCAAGAAGATGAAACGGTCTCTGGAGGAAGAACAGAAAGCTCGAAAGGACATTGAGAAAGTTGTAAGGAGGGTCTTAAAAAGCATGAATGACCCAACATGGGATGAAACCAACTTATGAAACTCCGATTTGCCTAAAATATGCACTTAATGTGTGTGAAAGGTGGTCATTTTTATAAACTTTAGCATTATGAAAAAAGACTGACTTGATGGCTACAAGGCTGAATCTAGGTTATTTATTTAAAAATCCTTAAACATTAAGTTGCATTGATGGTAACATTTGTCATTTCTTGATGTTTACAATATGTTCTCCAGTGGTACATGAGCACTGTATTCGTGGTTTATTTAAATAGGCCTATAACAAAATCAGTGGAAGAATGAACTTAAGTACTGTATGTGAGCAGTGTACGCCATGGGAATTGTACAGATCCTGTCACTGTGTTGGCTAATGGTCTTTGTAAATACTGATGAAATACAAACTTTTAAAATAAAATTTCATAAGCTATCCATGCATCTCAAGAAAAAAATGGAATCTGTAAAAAGACAAACCATAAACGCGTCTATTATTATGAATTACCCATCAATCTTTGCGACAGTTTGTACACTCATCATCAGACCGAGGACCTCACTGCTCCATCTGCCCCTCTGTGCTTTTCTCACGCTGCTGTCTCTTTGAAGGTAAATTAGATGTTAGGACTTTAGTGTTTGGCAAAATTACATCGTTGCTAAGAAGTGCACTGATGTTCGCGGACTTTGTCAAAGTTCACTAAACAGCGTAACAACTTCACCTCTTAAAGGCTACACAACAGGCTAGTGGGCCTGTTTGTTTCTCATCAGCACGTCAGGGTCAGGCCAGAATATTAATTTCAGTCTGTTTTGTTATTATCTTGTAGTCTATCCATCTGACTTGTGGGTGTACCCTAATCATTTTCAGCTCCCTTTAGCTCTGCTCACTAATCTGCTGGAGTCTTGTAGGTGAGTGGTTCCTTAACTGGAGGTGCAGTTGTCAAGTGGAATGTGACATTTTTGAAGCCTACTTGTTATTTATAATTTAAAAACCAAGCATTTCAGATAGGAAGAAAGTATTTTTTTTGTACCCAGAAGGGTGTGGCGCCTTCAAGATTCTTATAGGCTGCAGAAATGCTTACAGTTTAGGAGATATTGGTTTTATATTACATGGAATGTGCAGTGATCATACATTGCTAGTCTTGCTTCTGCTTCTTCTTATAGTTATTGGTTTATTGGCCTTATTGGTCCCATTAAACTGTAGGAGCAGATCTACCCTGCTGGCTCTGCATTGTTCTGAACATTCACTTGTCTCATCTCCACCAACAGAACCAAAAGTCATGATTTGGGTATTTGTCAGTTTTACTCATGGTCTGGTATTGGTGAACATTTCTTCCACATATGCTCTTGTGGAGTACAGGTATGTGAAAAGTTTGGTTCAAACTTTACATTATTGATATTCATTTTGGAATATTCATATTGGAAGAAGTGAAGGGCTTTCGTGTCACTGTCAAGTGTCTGTTGGGTGAGAAACTTGTCAATTGAAAAGGCAATGTATTCTCTGGGCTGTGACCTGGCCCATTCGCTCGCACTCTGGAGTGACGGGTTGTCACTGTGGTCACGCCACAATAAGACTCAAACCTACAGACTATTGTGGCACTCAGAAAAGCACCAAGGTCTTCCTCTCTCTTTCGTTCACTATTTTTTTGTCCTTTTCAAAGCAGAGAATCAATCAGCTGTACACACATACATACACACTTTGCTCAGTCTATTCAGCAGCAGTGATCATTTAGACTTGACATGTATTGTGAAAAACTGAGCTGCTCTGCCTCCTTCTTCTCCTCTTTCTTTCACTCCCTTTCTCTTTCAACTGTCTGTCATTAATGTCCAGGTCTTACAATATACTAACAGAAGAGAAGAAGAAAGCCAAGAGTGAGGGATGAATTGATGGATGGGAGGATAAGCACTCTGTGTCCTTTCTTTAAAGATTTGTTATTGTACAGTACTGTCTCCCAGTCATTTTTGGTTGGTGTTTCAGTCTGAAAGCCCGTCCACGTGCTCTTTTGTATGGGAAAGCAATAAGGCCCCATTGAATGAAGCTGAATGGACCTGCCATCCTTAGGGGCTGAGGCCTGAGGACTCCTATTCTTTAGCCCCCAATCTAATTGGAGCTGAAATGAAATGGAGGTTTCTTATGAAAATAGGCTTTGTTTGGCCGCAAGGCTGGTAATTCATAAACAATAAGCAGGGCCCCATTGTGTAGATAATAATATATTCATGCCGCTGGAGATGGGGAGAAGGCAAGGCGAAGGCTGGGGATATATAAGGCGGATAGGCAGCGACAGGGATGGAGAGTAGATGTGGAAGGGGAAGGGGCTAATAGCAAATAGTGGGTCAGACAAAATTGGTAATGGTTGAGTACAGGCAGAGGACTTATTAGAGCAAGTGAAAGGACTTAAAGTGGGAAAAGGTGAGAGAGGTGAAAATGGTGGGAATGGGAGAGATGGGCGAGATAAGAATGAAGCAGGAGAGTGTCAGATTGGGAAATGGTTGGAGCATCTTGAGCCTTGTGCTGTGTGCTGTGGCTGCACTAGGGGAGAAGAGGCGAGTGAGAGTGAGTGTCATCAAATGGAATAGGTTGCACAGAGCAAAGATCTGTGGACTTTGTAGTTGTTGAAGTGGGCTGGTCAAGTGAAGAGAGCAAAGCGGTGAGTGTAAGAGGGAGGGATAGAGAGAGAGCTCAGAGCTGCTGACAGCGGCTTTCACCAGCGCCAGGAAACAGGTGAGCTTTAATGTCACTTTGATGCATCCATCTCTCTGGGCTGTCTCTCACACTTATGTTCTCCAGGAGTGCTATGCTGCTGATCTTCACCTGAAGTAACATCTCAAAGGGGACGCTGCCCTTTAGATCTTTCAGGGAATGGACCTAAAAAGTGCTGGATGTAAGTGGCTTTGCTGCTTGGCCAAAAGGACGTCCTTATCTCCATCTCTTTGGACAGATGATGTGGGACAAACTAGGGGGGGTTGTTTTGGACCAAAAACACAGCGATGGATTATTTCTAATTTTGATCTGTTTAATGACAGTGAACACTTGAGGACTACGACAGCGGAAGTGGAGGGGACAGGGCTGAAGAAAGACTTAAAGTGCATTAAGTGTTGCTGCCTCGTGGTTATGGTTGCTTATGGTGAGTATAAAGTAAACTATTTTTGCAGTAGATCTTCTTTATTTAGACTCTATTAATTAAAATCTATTTAGTCATTGAATCTAATATTGTAAATTATAACATAAATTGCTATGTTAATTACAAATTACATTTAAAAATATCAGAACTTTATTTTCTTCCAATGTAGCCTACTATAGTTGAACAATATTTCTACATTACATTTGTTAATTATCTAATGTGACAACTACAACAAGTGGTGTTAGAAGTTACAGTTCTAATCAAGCATTTGTACTTGGTTGTAGGCCGTGTGAGTTCATGTCATTGCCTTTATTACAGCTGTTTCTATGATATGGTCAAATACATGAGGGAGTGTTTATTCTCACTCACAGTGGCTTGCTGGCTGTGCATCATGAGGGTTCATGTGACAAGTTGCGCTGACTGTCACAGTTTTATTATTTGACCACTAGATGTCAGTATATAATAAGATACAGGCCTAGAGAAGATTTCTGCTCAACTAATGGCTCTTTAGTAAAACAAAACATATTAGCTCCGATATCAAGGTTTATAATAATAACAGTAATATAATACTAATATAATAAAATAATAGTATTATATAATACTACTACTATTACTACTACTACTATTACTACGACTACTACTACTACTACTACTACTACTACTACTACTACTACTACTACTACTACTACTACTACTACTACTACTACTACTACTACTACTACTACTACTACTAATAATAATAATAATAATAATAATAATGACAAATACATAATACATTGTAAAAATGCATTTGCCAATGTATATAAAAGTCAAAAATTTTAGGATAATAACAAATTAAACAAAGGGTCCATTATGTACCTTAAGTTATAGAAATTGTTTACCATGACTTTCTTTTGAAGGGAATTTTATTTATGCTGTTTTGGTAGAAATATTAGGCCTTTAAGAACCAATTTTGCAGTGAAGGTTTAATTTATTTATATTGCCACTTGTCCACAAGGTGGCAATCACACATCATAGTATGCCTATCTGTGCCCCCAGTAGTGTGCTGGAGCAGTCTCAAACTGAATGTTTTTCATGTGTTTTTATCAGTAACGTGTTTTTAGCATATTCTGTTCTAAAGTTTGATTCTGTTGGGTCTAAGTCTATTAGTAATTATACATTAGTCATCTGTGTTATTTAGTGCAGATGCGCAGGGCTGGGTGTCTTGCTGGAGCTCCTTGTTTGTTTTGTTTTGCAGCAAAGTGCTTGCTGGCGATGCTGGTCACTACAAGTGTCTGGCATTCTGAGCCCACGGCTAATCAGGCTGTGGGCAAACTGGGTGGCAGTTCCATGAATGGTTTTCTGGAGATTATCCCAAAATTATCCATGAATTATCCCCCAGAATTATGCCGTTCCAGTCAGGCCTTGTCCATTGGCGGGACTGGGTAGCAACATTGCAGGGACATGAGTATGTGCATGTAGTCGGGGGGAGATTTGGACGCTGCCTTGGTTTCTGTGTCTTGAAGCATGCGTTTTGTGTGTTTGAGTCTGCACTCATTTTGGCTGTGTTGTTTCATCAGGGTAATGAAGCAGAGTTAATCCAAATCAAACAGCTATTTGCCACAGACTTTTAAAGAACACTGCTCTCATTAACATGAGATTGTAATATACTAGTTTGTTTAAGTATGTGCTGTTGTCTTTGCTGAATTTCCTAAATATAAATTAAGAAGCAAATGTTAAAGTGATATGTAATAAAATGTAATATCCAAATGTACCAGATAATATTTAATCAAGAATGGTTTATTATTTACTTACAGATAATTATTATCATTCTTGTACTTACGTCATGTCTTGTTGTTACTGTCTTTTAAATGTAGTTTGTGATGCTGCTGTTATTGTGCTGTCATTAACGTCTAGGTAGACAGAGGGGACTAGTTTTGTGCCAGTGTGTGGCTGCTGGAGCCCTGGGGGGATGAATAGTGCCGGTGAACCTCTCTGCGATAAGTGTTTGGTAAACAGGTCAGTGGATTGTCCTCTGAGGCTCAATCTGAGCTATTTTCCCTGGTTGAGAACACAAATTATCCTCCGTATTCATCCCAACAACAGACCACCAATGGCGTACACTGTTGAGTTTGAATTCGCAGAATCTTGTATTTAGCATTTAAACCACAAGGGGAAAAAGACATGCATCTTTGCTTTTTAAACATTAGTAAATTCTCAGTCATAAAAAGAAAAAGGCATTTCCTCTCAGTATGAGTTAGCAAAGATGGAAAAATAATTAGTTAAGAAGGGGATTGGCTGGTTGCGATTGGCACAATGTGAAAGAATAAAAAAGTGAAAGTCACA